GGAAAAGGTTTTTAATAGGCTTAGTAACTGCGTTGATCATTGTTTTCTCTAGCCTTGACCTAATATTCGTAAGCAATCTTTTTTCAATTATAATTTATGGATGATTTTCAGCAAGTAATTGTGTTCCCGAAGTTTTCAGTGGAAAATGAATCAATTACTTTAGGCTCTAAGTTTCTCTAATCATATTGGCCAGTATATTTTAAGTAGTAGCTTAAAGGTATCGTCCCGCACTATGAAATCTAAAGATCATGAGTTAGATCAATCATAGGCTTTCGGGTGCAAACTGCCAGTGATTTTGAGACTAGAATGAAATATTTGCCTAGTGTTCCTTGGTCTTCAATGGCCTTTCAACTGACGTTTATTTACCATAGGAAAACATTCATACATCATTTATTTGATTAGAAACAGATTATCAACCAAATATTTATTTGATTCAATTTAAATACATGCAATGAAGTAGAGTAATAAACAAACACATTAACTACGATATAGACACTAGTCTGGATGAATCATTATCCTTTATTTCTGGGTTTGCCTACAGTGAAATGTACTGTCATGTCTTACAACATATATAGATTTTTCACATAAGACACAAACAGAAATTGTTCACTACTTTATTCCTATTGCATATGTTATTTCTTTCGTTATTATTATTTATTTGAATGGTATAATAACCTTTGGCATCTATGCTGTTGTCTAAAAAGTCAGTGGAAACTGGGGAACTGAATCACCTAAATTACAGTCTACAAAAATTGTTTGATTCATACTAAAGCAGTGTTGGCTTGATTAAATGACATTGTAAACAAATAAAAATATGAAGAATGTAACCTATCATATGGGAATAGTAAGAATCTGTTTTATGCTAAAGAAGTTATAACTGAAAGAAATATTAATGTCCTCTAAATGGCTTATCATTTTCCCATCGTAAATTGTTTTGTATGATGATTAGTTTAATATATGATGAAGAGGAGGCCTAATAACGCTGAGTTAGAGCTTATTTTATTCAGCACTGCTATTACTCACGGATTGCAAGTAGACTATAGAGCAAATCCGCAACTAAATCAGCCAACAAAACTATTAAATCTTTGCATTCTGTGATTTACGAAACTCAAGATTGGAACAATCGAAAACCAGCTGAATATTAGTTTTGGAAAATAAACCGCGACAATATGGAGGATAGCTATATTAGAAGAATTGGTCAGCATTCATTCCTATCCCATCTCGAAAACCAATCGGATGATAAACGTCACAGGATATTACCCCTAATATCATATTGAAAATTATAGACAGAAAATTGGAGATAATGTGAAAACCTTAAACAGGGGAAATTTCAAAGACATTAGTATCCGAAATTTCGGTGAATAGCTGACATATATTTAACATATAGGTCAACGAATGGAACGAAAGCCATTTACAAAATTTTCGACATTATGAGTACTGATGTGGGTTGAAAATTTCCTATATTTGTCTACATATATTTGGCCCAAACGACAAACTTGTAGAAAAAATCAAAGACGACCAAATCATCAAACGAAAAAATGTCAAGTTCGGTCAGCCAATAAAGGCATGATGAAATAACTTTCGGCAAAAGAAATATTCATGGGATCCAACTGCAATGGTCTGTAAAGTAGTATCAACTTGACGACTAAACTGCCATTCCAAAAGTGCTACTGATTAACATCTGTGAGTAGTATAATTCAAATTTCCAAGTTTCACGTAGCGGTAACAGAACATCAATTAGGGGTGACTAGAGACAAAATTATCACCGACAATCGCCAAAGTAGCCTAAACGGGGTATTTATGATAAAATAGAAGTAATTCCTGGTAACGATAATGACGAGTTATTCGCCTTAAAATAACAAGAGCTTTATTATAAAACAAGTATTTTCGGAGCAATTATCATCGGAAAATCACATCACGACAAACAAATTTTACAGATTACTACTAGTAATATACATTCTTACTCACTCCTAGAACATTTCGGAGAATATGAAGTAATTCGTTAGATCCAAGATCTCAGCTTATCATTTAAAAAATGTCACCCAATATTGAATAGACCAATGTAATAATAATACGGTATTTCCATGCAAATAAAAGTATGATGGTATATTCTTGTTGTGAGGAAATATTTCATTTTTGCTTTAGATACTAAGCCACCTTATAGAAAAAGGTTTAAGGGCCGCGGTTTACGGCCACAGAATATGGGGATATTTCATTCTCTGGAAAAATGTGATCTTCACTGCACTGTTTTATTCTTCTTAATTATTACATGTTGGTATCTAAATCTTTCTTAGAAAACAGAAATATTCATGTTGCGATCATGCTGAAGTGTACGGTTGGATAATTAAAGATAATGAAGTGACATATGTCTACGTTATGCACTTCGGTTACTTGTCATATAAATAAAAAGTGTCGTTAACAAATTTGACAAAAATGTCTAATTTTTTTCATAGTCTAATTATCACCAAACTATCTTTCGCAACTACTTTAAAAGGGAATGATTCAGTTTATTAACAACGGATTATCTATTTGAAGCTAGTTGGCAAAGGGAATTTATTCCATTTTGATAAGTCCGTTATAATCATGACAGTGAAATTTTTTTTTCAAAGTTTCACCACACTTAAACTCCAATGTATAAAACATGAGGAACACTACTGGAATGAATCGCTAAGTTGTAAGCTGATAAGCCCTGCTTCAGTTTGGGCACCCGGGCAGTATCACAGCCCTCACACAAATCAAACGAGATTTATATCTGGTGCCCCTTTGTACCAATATTTATGTGTTTAAATAAATAAATAAAACTGATAAGCCCTGGGTTTGTAAGCATTTTATTCTGTGAGACTTAGGGAATAGTCATAAATCATCTGTCTATCTGTACTGATATATGGCAATGTTTCATGACAGATTCACGACCATGGATTTAAACGTGTTTCTGACATAAAGTTGTAAAAGTCATATATGTAAACTACACTCTTATGTACATGCAAAAGACTGGAACTACTGAACAAAACTGGCTTATCAGATAATTGTGTGAATTGCTTCGCATAAACTAAAGAAGATTGTCAACATGAATTCGCATCAGCTGAATGGGATAGTGTACGTCATTGAGGAACTTCGACCTTCAAAATACGGTTTTTAGAAGTTCTTTCGCTAATATAAGTTCACAGTGAGAATCAATTTCAAATTCATCTGATTGTTTGAGATTTTTTAGAGTGCTTAGTATAATGGACGTTTACATGTATTAAAAAAGACAAGTTAGGAATAAATATGAAGACAATTAACAAAAAATCATTTTTAGTTTAAACCGGAATAAGATTTAAAATTGATGAGCCTGGTTAATATATCTATTAACAGCAAGTAACACCTGACTGAAATGAAAAAAAAACAACTGACAAGACCAACAAGTCAATAAGTTTTCAAGATATTAACAAAAATTAGTGTACCATACTGTCTAACAAGAACAACATTCGTAGCCTACGTCTAACAGAATAGCTCAAGTCAATAATCGGAGATACTACAATTTACTGAAACATGTAATATTTATTTTACATCCATTTTAATCTTCGCCTGCCATAAGTTATAATGGTATTACAGTGTAGAGAATCAACAGACACGACCAGATCGATTCTAGCTATCTAAACTATTGTGGCTAAAACCAAAGTCTTCTGTTGCTTTTTGTTATCTCTATTAACAGAAACCTGAACGCTTTTAGTGGATCTGTAGATAATCAGCGTCTGAGCTCAATGAGTTTAGTCAACTTTAGAGCACCTAAAACTCCAGTTAAAAACTAAGCACTAATAATTTTCTCACGGTTAAGTTGTAAGGGAACAAATATCAGATTTTTACTTTTACTAAGGATGGGCCAATATTAAATGGTAGTAGGACTATATTGATTTAATGGTCTGAGGAGAATATTATCTTAAGTTTAATTCAAGAATTCTTAATGCTTGTGTTGATGCATAGAGCGCACACCTAATTGTTGTAAAATTATCTTGACTCTAAAGTCGATAAATATTTCGGACTACGTTGACAAACTAAATTATAGTCAAGATCACAATTATGTCCAGTAAAAACGTTTAAATAACTTAATATACTATTTATTTGTACTTGTACATTGATGAGATTAAATGAAACAAGTTATCCAATGTGCATATGGTTTAAATTGACGTGTGAGGTAAAACATTTCACCTACATTGATATTTTCACAAGCTTGGAAACGATTAATAAAGTTACTTCAAAACTAGATGAAAATAATATATATAATAAACGTATTTTTTGTGATATCCCAATAAGTATATAATTGTATTTTTGAAGTTTCGCGACTTAATGTACGCCACTTCTTTAGAACAAATAAATAACCGAAATAAAATTAACACAAGTTTAAATAGTACAAAGGAAACAATGTGGAATATTCTTAGTACAATAAAAGTCATAATAGGTCCGAATATTTCAATGTCAGGTTATTTTTGGTCAAGGAGAATTTGTATGACATGTCACTGTATTAATTTGTGAGTCAAAAACTATCAAGTCCAACCTTGGCATTGATACTTAGAAAATCATATATATTCTGACGAATAATCAGATGACATGTTCATTGTCTTTGTTTGAAGATAGGGGAACTAAAAAGCCAGATATGGACAATCAGAAGTTTATTAACTATAATGTTCCACTTTTCAATGTATCAATGCACGTAATAAAAAAGTACTTGGAACCAGTAAGTGGCCGACAATGACTTTTTTAAATGACTCAATATGATGGTAAGCACTTCCAAAATAACCAGTGAAATTCCAAGGAATGTAGAACCATCCATTCAAATCAGTAAGACAATCCTTAAAAACTTCCAAAATACCAATTTTAAACCTTTCATGGCGCGTATTAAATTTTTCAGTTTCCCAGTCACAGTAGTGACACTTTCCAAGTCGATATAAAGCAGAAGTTTGTACAAAAGTTTATTCACATAAAAACTACTCTCAAGTCTTGTAATCTGATAATGAATTGAATTAATCCAAACTGTTGCGTCGGAAGTTATTTCTTTGAAATCTGTAGTTATTCTACAACACAAATGAATCAAATCGACAAGCGAATAAAACTTACGTTTCTCTGACTCCGATGATTGAATCTTTCTCGATTTATTTCATCTAGAATTCGTTTTAACTTAATAGCAAACAAGAGTACCCCAGTGAGGTATGATAGGGGGTGGCACATTGGCATTCGACAAATACTTTTGATAGTTAACATCCTTGTCCGTATACCTGTCCTTAAACATAGTTTCCAACTCCTCAAGACTAATCAATCTGTCGGGAGTTTCTGACATCTGCAAGGAAAAAAGAGAAGAGTTGAGTGAGTGAACTATACTACTTTTGACGATGATTTGTTCATAACAACGTTAATTGTTGTGAGATAAAATTTAAGGAAGTTCATGAAAGCGACTTTAACGGACGAGGGTATTATTAAAAAGAACTAATCAGAAAATTAAAGCGTGAAAATCAATATACTTAGTGTCACGCACAAATGGGCATTATGACCGATCAATTAGAAATACTATGGGACAGATACAACTACGTCACTACCTACACATTTAATAAATAAGATACAACCGAAGTTGAACCCAATGCATGGGTGTATATATTACCATTTACCCATTAGTTACCGCAGGGAAGGGAAAGCGGTAAAATACATAAATGGCAACAGCAGTAGAAAACTGAGAGAATAAATGCTAGAGAAATCCATAAAGCAGTCTGAAGCTCAAAAGGCCATAGCTAATCTGAAACGAGGAAGAACAGCTGGTCCAGATGTCTTTAAATATGGTGGTCAAATTTTAGAGAATAGGTTGACTAATATTTTAGCCAAAATCTGGGAGTTAAACGTGATCCCATCTGACTGGTAACGATCTCTGGTTGTCCTGTGATAACCATAGAGGGATTAGTTTGACTAATATAGCATATAAAATACTAGCCTCAATAATTATCGGGCACCTAACTAAGACTCGTGAACTGCAAACGCGAGAAAATCAAGCTGGCTTCAGACCTGATCGTGGCTACATCGACCACATATTCACCATTCATCATATCTTAGAACACAGACATGCTTATCGGCGTAAAACAATGATAGTTCTTCTTGACTTAAAAGCGCCATTTGACTCTGTAGACCGAGAGGTTCTGTGGCAGTGTCTGTCATTGAAAGGTGTACCTCAGAAGTACATAAACCTTGTGAAGGCTCTTTACTTGAACACTACTAGTCGAATCAGAGCTTCTGGTGAACTGTCATCTGGTTTTACAACCTTAAGTGATGTCCGACAAGGTTGTCTACTATCTCCATTTTCGTTCAACTTCATCATAGACCTACTGCTGGAAATAACACTCTCTTCGACTGAATTCTCAGGAATTGACCTCCTTCCAGGAGGTCCACCTATCACTTTAGAACACACAGACGACATTATCCTGCTTGGTGAAGACGCTGGTAAAATACAGTGTTTTGGTAGCACTGAGCAACAATACTAGGATGTTTGGAATGCGTTTCTCCTCCTCTAAATACAAGTTGTTGCCTCAGGACTGGCCTACGTCGACTCCTGAACTAAGGATAGGGAGTGAAGTAGTCGGACGCGTCGACAACTTCATTTATCTTGGAAGTCTGATCATCCCTATTGGATTGGTGTCTGACGAAATCTCTACACAGATTTAGAAAACTCATTTGGTTTTCGTTAACTCACATCTGTTATGTCCCAATAAGAATAGTGGATGGTAACTTTGGAATCCATTCATGAACCAATACTATACACATATTTTTATCGTATAATTGTTAAATAACTAAACTATTCATATTCATGTCTCTCTTATCATGAGCATTATTTTGACGTATGCCCTGTCTATCATTAATTAATATCTTTCTTATTCACAACCACAGCTAAATCTTGTACAAATGTTGTTTTCCTATTTTATGGTACGATGTGGTCTGTCTGTTTGGTATATAAACCCAGTATGCTTGAAATAAATTATTCATATTGGTGAAACTGTTATTGATGTTCTGGACTTAACTGGCTGGGCTAAGCAGAGGGCAGGACCGACAGGTACTCTAGACTGCTCTTATGGGTTTCGTGTGTCATTGGTCCGATCGATAATTCACTGTTCTCTAATTGGTGGTATTATCACGTTATACATTAACAGGGCATCCAGGAGACATAAGTTATAAAAATGTCATCTATGGAGAAGGCGAGATATCCTTCTCTCAATTAAGAGACGAGTATACTGCGCAGCAGTTTGCTCTGTTCTACTTTACGGCTGCAAAACGTGGCCATTAAGAGTAGATATTTGTAAGTTACTAGTATTTGACCAAAGATGTCTTAGAAATATTGCTCGCATTTGCTGGGATCACTGGGGAAGTAATAGTGAGGTTAGACACAGGGTATTAGGAAATGATGGTAAATCAGTTGATGAGGCTGTAAATCTTCATAATCTGAAATGGTTGGACGACGTGTTATGTACGCCTGAACACCAATTACCACGACGTGCAATGCTGACTAGTATTGGGGATGGTTGGAAGAGAGTTAGGGGTGGCCAAACCAAAACGTGGCATTAGTCATTGAAGTTACTAACTTCTAGTCTGAGCCATGTTGGCAGATGTAGACTGCTTGGTTGAGGTTCGCATGACTATCGTAACCAATGGTTGGAGATAGTGTGACATGGCTCAGAATATATCACAATGGCGTAGATGTATTCACTCTCCGTCTTCTCTTAAACCGTGGGACAGCTTCACTTATCTTGGGAGTCTCGTCAGCCCTTGTGGTCTGGTGTGTGACGAAATCTCAGCACGGATACAGAAGGCTCGTCTAGCTTTCGCCGACTTGCGCCATTTATGGCGTAGGCGAGATATCCGTCTAGCAACCAAAGGACGGGTTTACTGTGCAGTAGTTCGTTCCGTTCTACTTTATGCCAATGAAACATGGCCGATAAGAGTAGAGGATATTCGTAGGCTACTAGTACTCGATCATAGGTGTCTTCGAAGCATTGCTCGTATATCCTGGGACCACCGGGTAAGTAATGCAGTTATTAGGAAACGGGTACTGGGTAAGGATAGCAAATCGATTGATGAAGTAGTGAAACTTCATCAGTTGAGATGGTTTGGACATGTGTTACGTATGCCCAACCACCGACTGCCCCGACGTGCAATGCTTTATGGTGTAGGAGCAGGTTGGAAGAAAGCTAGGGGTGGCCAGACCAAAACATGGCATAAATCCATGAAGTCGCTGACAAGTGGACTGGGCCATGTTGGTAGGTGTAGACTACCTGGTTGGGATTCGCGAGATGATAGCAACCGATGGTTAGAGACTTTGAATGACATGGCTAAAAATCGTTTGCAATGGCGAAGGTGCATCCACTCTTTGTGTTCTACCAAATTCTAATCTTCTGAATTCTTCATGTCCGTATCGTTTTTCTCTTTCCAAATTTATTTCACCGTATTATACTCCTTCAATAACATCTTCAAACCCTAATCTTTCGGTTTACTGCTTATACCAATATGGGAGATTTCTTACATATCACGATGCCATGTCATAGACTGACCTCCCACGATAGCTGGTGACCAACGATTGATTAATACGCCTTTTGTTTCCTCAAGATACTGGAGCCCATGTGCACCATTGGTTTGGAATTAGGGTTTTCCAACTCCTTTAGGTGGACTCGCAGTGTCCACCAACCCGGTTAAAACGCCGGACATTCGCTTTTCGTCCTCTCAATTTCGTAAGTAACACCCCCGCCGCGAGAAGACAGTGAGTAGGACTTCCCTGACAGAGGCTATATACGCGTGGCCATGTGAGAGCATTTCGAGAGGGAGAGCGGACTTTCTCCACTCTCGGCCGTACCATGGCATTTGGGGGCAGTTGCTTTATACCTTTCTTTCTACCAACTAATTCTTTCTTCCTTTGTTACGTCCTTTTCCAGAAGATTTCTTCTATATATTACTACCACTGAAGTAACTACTTCTTTGAATTCGGTGTTTTCATCTTGTTATGCAAATGGGGTATGGCTACTTGGACCGATGCATATATGTGTCTGGTCCTACGTTGTAGCTGACGGACAGACCATGGAGCAGGAATCATTCAGGATTCCGGAAAGAATGACAAGGTCATTTGTCCTTTGAAACAAACAATTAAGAGTCAAAAGCGTTGATTAGTATAGTTGTTGCAGTACTAATAAGAACATGAGAGTCGTTTGGCCTGCAGTGAAACATCGGAGGTCAATGTTGACACAATAACTTCAGTGCTGCTATGGTATTAAGTTATAAAATATCCGATATCCGACGTTTTCATGTGACTAATTTAGTTTGATGATTGAGCAATCTGAATTTTTGGCCATAAGAACTTTCAATACTACTTTCATCCATTTTTTGTTGTCTTAAAGATTCGAAACAGAGACAGATAAATGTCCAGCTAATAACAAAAACATTTCTACACACAACCGTCGGATAATTATTTTGTTGCTTTAAATAAAAATACTACTTAATATTTGACTACCCAATTAACGATGTATTAAAAAAGACGAAAAGGAAGGTATATATGGCTACTTAGTTAATCTAACAAAAACAGCATAGATGGCACAAACATGTAGCCCGATTTGTTACAGTATGTACGTAAGAGGAGACTGAACACAGTATGGTTCAAAAAGGAGTGAAACCAGAACGTACGATATATGATTTTTCACTTCATTATTATATATACAATCATCTGATATTCACACACTATGGTTGGTATATTGTTCAAAGGTACATGAAACTGGAAAATAACTGGCTGGAAAGGTAAGAAGGCTGAGATACACTTATCTGAGAAGCGAAATTTGATAAATGAGTAGAGTGAGATTGCTTGGTTTTATACGCTCTGTTATTGATTATCAAACATAGGAAACCAGAAGCTAGTATATATCAATTAAACTTAAATGACAACAGAATTTAAAACCAAGGTTTATGACTTTTCTTCCACCTGTGCCTACCGACGTTTTGATGTACTTTGACAGTAAAGTAGGTTACCATACAGTGTACCGCATTGAGCAAATTTACGCCTCAGAATCTCGAGGTTTCAAAATAAAACGTTTAGATCGAAATTAGCTATTAAGTTTTCTGCTAAATCTACATTTCTGATATTGAGAAAGACAATAAATATAAGAAGATGAGGCACCGAGATGAGTATTTATAGATCACTCGATCGTGATGACAGTGTGAGAATAATGCTTTGAAAATATAATATTGGTGATCCTTTTTAAACCATCTCCTTTGTATGTTTAACTTACCGTTCAACAAGTCACCTATATCTCGAAGCATCATTTTACTTGACAAGAGGTTAAAAGAGTTAACAACCTTTATAGCAATAGAATTTTCTTTCTTGAAGTTTGAGTTCGTATGTTATGTTTTTTGACATTTCATGCACCAGTTTTAGAAAAAGTAGTGAAAATGCCTAGGAAAGAATTGTTTTTTAGTATTTTCAATATTATATGTCATACCCTTATATCGATTCTGTAACAGGACGAAACAGAGGTCTACTTTACCAAGCTTCAAAGTGCATGGAATCACCCTGAGTTGTATGGACCTTCTAAACTTTTTTTTACATTGATGGTCACCATTTTTACCAACTTTTACAGTGAGCTTTGTATTTGCTGTTATCTTACATGGCAAATCATGAACCGACTTCTTTATTACACGAAAGTCATTTTAATTCCGTTTTTGGTTTGTTCTCATCGAAAATGGTTTGGAAAATATCTAAACGACCTCTGAAATTCTCCACGAGCCTCACCATAGTCTTCATTTATGTTTTTATTCACACGCCCAACCGTTACACTGACAATACCTTAACGAACGCTTAGTGCATTTGTCAGTACACGTAGAGACGATGTTATTTCGATGTGACATCATTATTCTTGCGGCAAACTTAACGTTTCTCAACTGAGAAACTCAATCACTTGTGAAAGCTATCTATTTCAAGGCGACCTGATATAACTTTAAACGTTTTTTTAATATATTATTTCAATGGTTAATCGCTTGACGTTCAACTGACGTTCTGATAACATTTTAATACTCGCTGTTTCCCGGCCAGTTTCTGCCACCTCCTTTCCATTTGTCTTACAGCTCGGCAATACCCAGAGGATTCATAATAATCGATTGAAGACCTCCAGCGCTCCACTACTCCCAACATGTTTGCCACCAAATCCGAAAGCCGATGAATCTGGTGTAGGAGTATTGTCGGTTCATTCAAATGTCACTGAGCCCTAGCCATATCATCCTGCAGTCGGTTCATTGAATATATGGAACAGATTATCGATTGCGGTCAAAGTCAAGGACAACCGACACACATCAGTTGGTCGTATGGCATAGACTGGCACATGCGATGGTGGATTAACTATATTCTCTGTAGTGATTCTTACCAATAAATGTCCGTAATAAAGTCCTTTGTGTCGTACGATCATCAGAGAAGTCATAGTATTTTATACGTCGAAGGTGTAACTCACGTTAGATGCTGACCACGAGATGTAAATTGAAGGTTAGCTGGTTCGACAAGCCAACTTTGTCTGACTTGAGTAGGCCCCCAATCAAGCGATTGGTATAATGGAAACAATCATTGTTATAACCAAGTGTGCCAGTGATTGTTTTATTGTACCAAAAACAATTCCCCCCGTTGTACATTTTACTTGCACGAACGCGCTTACGCTCCATCGTTTTGCCTGTACTCTTTGGCACGTCTCGGTATTCTTCCGATACCACGAATCGCCAACAAATAAATTTTATTTAGACCATCAACAGCCTTTTGGATTTGGCCTACGGAGGGATCCAAGTAGATATCTGGCACGTAATCTTATTGTAGTGGTGATCATAGTCAAACGAGACTCGATGCCTTTTACATAATAAACAAGTGCATTGTTATTCGAGAACAAACTATAACTTGCTATACTTACAGATCTGACTTTATTTACCAACAGTCAGATTAAAATGCATTGTAATATCTTTGATGTAGATAGTGCTATCTGCTAGTCCGATGCGCATGAAGGCGCACTAAAGAATTTTATAAGTATTTTCACGAATGAAATCATGAGTCAATGGAAGCTAGACCACCATCTAAAACCTGGAAACACTGGTATTGAGTCGGCTTACAGAGAACTCTAACAGAGCCTTCAGAGGCTCATAAAGAGCCCAACCAATCAGTGACTAATTAGAAGCTATGTTACTAAAATAACGAGATCCTGATTGGCTGATTAACACACTGTTACTATGTAAACTCAAGGTCTCTTAATTACTATAAAATCCCTGTATTTTCTGTACATAAATGAACCTTGCAGTAAAGTGTTTCTCTCATACTCGTGTCTTCTTACTGGTGTTGAAGTCGCTGAGTAGTTCTAGCCTGAGGTTATCAGAATAGCTTACGATCTGAATATAGCGCTCAACTTACAAGACGTAACAACTGGACGGCCGTTTCGTCCTATTGTGGAGCCCCTCAGCAGTGCGCACCCACTATTCCGCACTCGCGAGATTCTAACCCAGGACCTACCAGTCTCGAGCCAGAGCCCTTAGCCGATAGTCCACTGAGCCGGCATCCAACGGTGTTAATGTCCAACTTCAAACAATCCACGATTTTGAGCGACCGTTCACGGTAAACAAGCAACAAATTCCATGGTCAGTCCTAGGATGAATTTTTGTCGCGACTGAACTGCCTAACCACATAGACTTCAGAAATAACTCCTGCCATTATGTTTCTAATTTTATCGGTCAGTCTTTGAAGGAAGCCGTGTTGATTACCATCGTGACAGAATAATATACACTTAGGTGGGTATGTCTGTCAAACTGTGATAGTGTGGTGTGTGCTACTTGTATCTTAAAACCAATCAGAGGTTGAAAACCTGACAGCATAAGGCTAAGAAGATTGAGTTGAAGAGAATGGGAGAGCATAAAGAAATTGTTAACTGAGAGAACCATACGAAATGTGGAGGAAATCATAGGAACTTGCAAATGAAGTATTAGGTGTGTGGTTCTCATATTTTACCAAGATATTTTGTGATTTCGTATTAAAAATGAATCAGTTGTCCCCATCTGAGGGTTCGTTCACTACAATGGTATTGAGCCTAAACATACTAACCGCGTGACTGCTTTGTTTAGTAGTTGAACAGGGGTCGATTGGGAAAAGCGGTGCTTCAATTAATCAGAGCCAAGATAGCGAGGAGTCAGTTCCTCAACGACACCAATAGGGGATTCATTTGTGTAATGCTTGTAAATAACAGTTGAACTTATCGATAACTCTGATTTTAGTTGGGGCTCAGCCCACAGAGACTGCATTTAAATCATATAATATGAGTTCTTCACACCTATTTGACCATAATTGTACTTTGTAAAGAAATCATTTAACTCTGACGTCAACAGCGTTTTTCAGATTTTAATACTATCAGGATTTTACGCATCGAAAATGTTACAAAACCTCATTTCGTTTGCTAGACTTGTAGATAGCGATTGACTATCATCACCACTACAACAAGAATACGTGCCAGATATCTACTTGGATCCCTCCGTAGGCCAAATCCAAAAGGCTGTTGATGGTCTAAATAAAGTTTATTTGTTGGCGATTCGTGGTATCGGAAGAATACCGAGACGTGCCAAAGAGTACAGGCAAAACGATGGAGCGTAAGCGCGATCGTGCAAGTAAAATGTACAACGGGGGAATTGTTTTTGGTACAGTAATACAATCACTGGCACACTTGGTTATAATAATGATTGTTTCCATCACACTAATCGCCTTCTCGTTATAATAGTAGGACTCTACAGATTACTGAAATAGGAGTAACAAACCATTAGTCCCATTCAGTGGCTTATCTCCCAATACATAGTGATTTCGTTATCGTTTGAGCCTTAACTTTGACAATCCGAAGGCTCCGTAAGTTCACGCTCTTCTCCCAGTTATGAAGTGTCTCGTCTTTTGAACTTCTTCGATTAACACCGATGACAAGACTTATGTCGGGATGATAATCAACTTCAGTTCGGTAGTCTTTTAAATAATTCCCACTAGCAGGTTGTCTCACACTGGGAGCGGGAACCTTGTCCTTTAGTCCATTAATTCTGGAAAGCGTACGAGTGCTAATGCTAGCTGCTATCTCAGGGAGTAAGCAGTTGTGTAAATACTCGCGTAAAGCTACGGAATGGCATTTTAAATACTATTGTTAACGTTTATGAATCTCTACACATTACCATAACCAGCAAAAATTAAAGTCGATGAATTTTTGAACCTAGTTCATCATTTATATGAAAACTACCCCAAATGGAGGATAACCGGCCGAATAAACTTCACTTAGGATGTAAAGGAATATTCACTGGAGAAGATACTGGGAACATGGCACACGTCATTTACGTGATAACCTAATTACTAATATCCAACCATATAAACTCCTATGGTATTTGGTTCTGAAATGTGCAGCCGAAACAGTAGATTCAAAGGTATTTATACACACCGAAGATCTTCAAAAACTGTCCTCAAACATAAGAAAATTGGGTTTTATCACTGATTTTGTAGAATTATCACCACTTTAGGATTACATCACACAAACATAAAAGGCGTGTTTTATTGTATTTTAAAGGCATTATTATGAAGCACGTAATATGCCCTATATCGATGTCTTAGACACTGAAATAATCGAAGTGAAGGAGAAATATGAAACTGGTGTGGATGCAAAATGACATTTGGAAAATAATCGGAGTTGGCAAACGTACCTCAAGAGGATGTTGAAGTAGGAAAACCTCACAATAAGATACTAGATTGGTGTAAATGTTTAAAAGCATACCTTCACCTAGTTTAGTCCGTACTATCCGACTGTAACAACGTTAACTAGTATGACATTTATCTTTGGGTTTACTATTCGCCGAACACCGATATGATTATAAGATCAATGGATAGTATGTTTGGTCAAAGGCTAAAGTAAGTTTACAACAAACGCTGGGAGAGTATTAATAAAAGATTGGAGAAATGTCTCAATACGTCATTTGCAGATGGCTTTTCGGATGCTTTCCACGAAGTGTCTGTTAACATTATCAAGTTTGAGGGGCTATTAAGCTTTTCTAGGGGAAAGGTTGGTTACTAATGCTTGCTTGGTCAGTTTTAAAGTCAAGTGAAAGTAATAAACCTTCGTAACGTAAATCCTCGATAATATGAAATGCGAGCTGTTCACACATTTAGAATAGGCTTACAAGTGCTTTTTTTCCTGTCATTATGTACCCTTATTATACTATTTCATTAATTTGGTGAAAAACGTGATATCAATGGACCTGCATTATTTTAAAATCTTATAATTTTCTCAATGGCAACATAATGTTACTCCTTACATACCTCGCAATGACACTTGGACTACCTTATTTTTATTCAGACTTTAGAGAAAGAATATTATTCTAGTACCCAGGAAGCCTAAACTTCAGTAAAGTTAATCATGTACTTTGAACTAAAAATAATGCTGTTAAACATGTGAATTCTGAAAAGAATGAATAAAGGGGAAAACTAGCTGAGGACCTTAGATGTTGTTGAGGGGATATAATGAATTTAACAGGAGTCTATGCTTTGACATTTCCAATGATATGTGTACACTTATTACAGAAATAAAGGTATCTAGCTAATGAGTGAGATATTTCAAGGTAAAGGTCCTTTGTCAACTCACCTGCCACAACATTTATCTGCTGAATTTTCGTAATACATTAAAACTGGGAGCTTGAATCATAACACGTGATATACCAAACTAAATTCTTTGAAAGACACTATTCACATTCTGGTATAGTGTGCTCATTTTCCGGAATTTAATATTGTCTTTCACACACAAACTGTATTACTTTTAGAGATAAATGTCTTGATACTTCCCCGAAAATGATTAAAACATTAAAACCGAGGTGTCTCATTTGACGTTAAAATCACAAATAATTCCAAACTTGTACATAAATTCCTATTCCTGTCAATTTGTATTAAGTCATTGGAAAGACATTTTGACACAAAAAGTGTCAAACTTGAATCTGCTTCAATATTCTGAGAACAAAAATTTCCGTAAAGTATGCATGAACATTTTTTGAGGATAAGTATATTACCCGCAAATTCCATTCATTAAAATGACATGATTTTAGACAACATGTAGCAAGGTTAATAAGGGCAAGAAGCCAAGTCAGTTACTCAGCACACTGAGAATGACAGAAGTCGAAAAACGTGTTTAAGGTGACAGAACAATGATTAAGACTTTAATTTACAGGAGTATTTAGACCATTAAAACAAATATATAAGGCTAATATAGGAATATGTACACAGAATACTGAATGGAAGGAATAAATCCAGTATTATCCCTCGAGATTTTCTATGCAAGTTACTGGTGCAGAATTCACACAATCTGAAAAGTAGGATCAGTGAAATGAAGTCAAACAAGATGCAATAGATAAAAATGGAGAAATTACTAAGCAGATTAGTCAATACTTACCATTATGATATTTTTGTAGATGTTGGTGATAAGACCATTCCCTTGCAAACTCACGACGACAGTATGGACATAAAAATGGCTTCCCAGCTAAAACAGATGACCCAAACACTAGTTTATAAACACTACATCACAAAAGGTTCATTGTTATTGGATATAAAATATCTACCGTGCTAAATCATACACATTTATTTTCTAAACACAATGAACATCTAAATAAAAGACAAAATCGAGACTTTGGAGAGGTTCGATATTAAATTTAGTAGGATTTGCACAAGTTCAACAGGTACCCTAGATTAAGCTACCTGTTATAGATAAACCATGAGTGGTGTAATATCCTAGTCTTGTAGGAATAGTGGGAGTAATCCAACTTAATGTTACCTAAGTCCTCAAGAAACTTGAAAAGAGATCAGGGACAAGGTTAAATTGGGCAGAAAAAGGATACATAATTGAACTCTATCAAATTGAATTCTTTCGGGACAGTGTTAGACTTTATAAAGAAAGGCTGACATAAATTTGTTGTCGTACTTATGTTCAATAGTTTTAACTTTTGATTATAAGTCTGAAGCTTGGACCAGAAAGCAGAGCAAAACGTTTAAGCTACTTGATATCGTTCTCTGAGCGTTTTGCAAATATGATTTTAATCTTAATGACTTTAACGCACCTACCTACCAACTACTGTGAAATTACTCATGAGATATCAGATGAGATTTCGTTACATTTTGGAAATGACCGGAAAATCTAATTTTAAGATGCACAGAGACTGAGCCTTATCAGTATGATATCACTCAATAACAAAAGATAAATAATGTAGGAACCCAACAGGGTCTTTCCATATACTAGAAAAAGACTGCAGTAAGCAGATATACTACTACTCTACATGAAAACTTTTCGCCTGTTTATTGCATAAATCTACAATTTGAATACTTCTGCTGACTGACATCATAGAATAAGCTAAGACGTTCATTAGAGGTTGTGTATTAATTTAATTCGATGTCTGCATAATAAAAGCAGACATTTTTTTATTTAATTCATTTGTACTGGTTGTTTAAATCTTTCCATTAACGTTTAGGACTGCAATTGATCAATGTTTTTTAGCACATGTGCGTATACCCTAGATTCTGCGATAAAGTCGAAGGTATTTCTTAAGCAGAACCGACAAGTTATCAATAGAGAAATACGCGCGTCCTGAATTCCATTTTTAACCACCATTTAACTCTCTTTGAAAAGGATGTTTTATTCATTATTATTAATAGATTTTGCGGAGTAATTTAAACCAATGAAAACTTACTACTGATTAACATTGAATTAGAGAGAAAGCTTTAATTGTATTCCTAATGATTTACACTTTATATCCCTGATGACTTCAGTAATCTATGGAAATCTAATATAAGTAAGAAAGTTTACTATGCTAATTTTGCCATAATTTTACGTATGACAGAAAATTTACGAATGATTATGTTTAAATTTGGTTTTCAAAAGTCTAATAATATGTAATCAGTAGTACTAGAAAATGATGATTATGAATGCACTGAAGTTAACTAGCTCATTTTTCATTTCAAAAGGCAATACGGTTACCTCACAACGTGATAACAATCTACTAAACAAAACTTGTTGGTCGCAGGACAGATAACGGGGACCGTTTGCTGCAACTGTGCACAGACCACAACCTGTTTATGGCCAGCACTAACTTCCGGCACAGTCATCGCCGGTGTGCCACCTGGCGTCCTCCCTCTGCATCCCAAGCCTGGACTCAGATTGATCACATCGCGATCAGCTACCGCTGGCGTGGTTGTGTACAAGACTGCCGCTCCTTTTGGAGTACCTATCTGGAGTCTGATCATGCCCTGGTCTGCGCCAATCTCACCTCACTTTTCAGTGGCCGAGGGATTGACCACCACCAACGGATTGATATTAGTAAACTGACTGCAACTTCTGTTGCAAGTAAGTATCGAGCGGAGCTAGCCTCTAGGCTAGCTGCCATCCCACCGAAAAGTATAGATGAGCATTGGTTGCATCTTCACGACGCCATGAAAATGGCGAGTAAAGCCGCTTGCGGCTTCGCGAAACGTCCCGCTTACATGCACTGGGTTTCTTCTGGCTCCTTACAACTGATGGAAGCCCGTCGGTCTACTCCGGGTGACCGTGAGTTTGACTACAAACGAAGGCTGTTACGTAATGAAATCGGGCAAAGCTTGCGTAAGGACCGGGAAGCCTGGTGGTCGGAGCGTGCTAATGAGATGGAAGAAGCAGCTGCATCTGGTAACTGCCGGAAGCTCTTCCAACTCATCCGAGCCACTGGCAGCAAGAAGTCTGGTGTAAGTGAAACAATCTACGAGGATGACGGGATGCCAATCACTAACATCTCTCGACGTCTTGGACGATGGGCGGAATTTTTCGAAGGGCAGTTCAACTGGCCTGCTGCTCCGGCAACATCAACCAGCTTGCCCTGCCCCCCATGGCCGGTGACGACTGATCCACCAAACGAGGCGGAAGTCCGCAAGGAACTCCAACTCTTGAAACGTTACAAATCACCTGGCCCAGATGACTTACCTCCGGCTCTTTTTAAAGATGGTGGTGACTTTCTGACTAAGGAATTGACTGTATTGTTTGGAAAGGTTTGGGAGCAAGAAAGTGTTCCAACATTATGGAATGAGTCAATAGTCGTCCCTATCTTTAAAAAGGGTTCACGTTGTTCCTGCAATAACTATCGGGGGATAAGTCTACTTTCGATTGCGTCCAAACTATTGGCTCCTATCATTCTTCGTAGGTTGTTTAAAACCCGAGAACGATTGACTCGCGAGGAGCAGGCTGGTTTTCGTTCTGGTCGAGGATGCATTGATCACATCTTCACCCTCCGCCAAATGTTAGGACACCGTCATACTTATCGCAGGCCAACAATCGTAGTGTTTCTTGATATCAGGGCGGCCTTCGATTCGTTGAACAGGACTGTTCTCTGGGATTGTCTATTGAAGAAGGGTGTGCCTGAGAAATTCATTAACATCTTAAAGGCCCTGTATACGAGCACCTCAGGCAGAGTGAGGGGATACAACCACCTTTCTCCCTTGTTCCATTCGAGCAGTGGGGTTAGGCAGGGTTGCCCGATCTCACCATTCCTCTTCAACTTTGCCATCGACGACATCCTGGAAACAGCTCTGGTGGATGTAAATAATGGCGGTGTGGATATGTTGCCTGGAGAACGACTTCTCGACCTTGAGTATGCGGATGATATTGTCTTACTGTGCGATAATGCCCAAGGCATACAATCAGCACTTAATCAGTTGGCAATCAGTGTCCGCAGGTACGGCATGTGCTTTGCACCCTCCAAGTGCAAAGTACTCCTACAAGACTGGCAGGATTCTCATCCTGTACTCACCCTGGATGGTGAGCAGATTGAAGTAGTTGAGAAGTTCGTGTATCTAGGTAGCTATATAAGTGCTGGTGGTGGCGTGAGTGATGAGATTGATGCACGCATAATGAAAGCCAGAGCGGCTTGTGCCAATCTGGGCCATCTTTGGCGCCTTCGTGATGTTAGTCTGGTTGTAAAAGGTCGGATCTACAACGCGTCGGTGAGAGCTGTTTTGCTCTATGCTTGTGAAACCTGGCCTCTCCGAGTTGAGGATGTTAGACGTCTCTCTGTGTTCGATCATCGTTGTCTCCGAAGGATTGCTGACATCCAGTGGCAACATCATGTTAGTAATGCAGAGGTTCGGCATCGTGTGTTCGGGCGCAGAGACGATAACTCAATTGGTGTCACCATCTTGAAACACCGACTTCGGTGGCTTGGACATGTTTTACGAATGTCGTCCCAGAGACTTCCACGTCGTGCATTATTTGCCGACCCTGGGACTGGTTGGTAAAAGCGGAGAGGAGGTCAGTGTATGACATGGTGTCGCGGCATGAAAGAAAGCTGCAAAGGGCTAGCTTCCGTTGGTCCTTCACGACTCCCTGGTTGGGGTCCGTGAGATGGTGCAACACAGTGGCTAGAGACGTTATCAGATATGGCTCAGAATAGAAGCCAGTGGCGATCCTGCTGCAACCTTCTTTTACTTTATACATAAAGAATGGTTCTAACTATCCTAACTGAAAGAGTCTTCTGGTTGTACATTTCAGTCCGCCTTATCTTCTCATCCCTTCTCTTCCTACTTTCATTATTTTGTGTGGCGCATATGTACCTGGTGCTCTTTTGTACCAATATATATGTGTTTAAATAAATAAATAAATAAAATAAAACAGGTTTATGGTTTCGAAAAATACATCCAAATTTTTAGAATGAATTACGATCGATAAACAAGTAGACTGTAAAATGCTATTCACTGAGTGCATTAACTATCTATTTACTTCGTATAATAGAGGGAATAAGATTATTTATCTCGTAAGTTTCAATTTCTAATGCGTCTACTGTATGGTTATATGGTAAAAAGCATCGTTTGATATTTATTATAAAATAAACTCATTCTTGTGAACGATATCGTCCAAAGATACACCAAATGTGGTATCAAGGATTGGTTTTATTCACAAGACTGACAGGAACATGTGTCTGCAATTACTTTTGGTAGTGAGCAGTAAGAAGCGAAGGATTTCGTGGTGGCGTGAGTGGGGAAATACATTTAGGTATATTGAAAACTAGAGCGGCTTATGCTTATCTGCGTCATCTTTGGTGCCTTTGTGGTATTAGTCTGGTTGTAAAAGGCTGAATCTACAACGCGCCGGTGAGAGCAGTCTTCCATTATGCTTGTGAAACTTTACCTCTTCGCGTTAAAGATGCTAAATGAATCTCTGTGCTTGATTATCGTTCTCTATGAGGAATTGCTTAAGTTCGCTGAAAAAACCATATTGATAATGCAGAGGTTCAGTAACATGTGTTCGGGTACAGTGACAATTTATTTATTTAAACACATAAACATTGATACAAAGGGGCACCAAATACATATGCACCACATAAATCATCCGATTTGTGTGAGGGCTGGGATAATGCCCAGGTGCCCAAACAGAAACACGTGGTTTTCTCGGGGAACCACACCCGGAATTTTTAACCTGAAGTCCAATCCACAAGGTAGTGGAGCAACATCAGGAGATGTAGTCCTATGGTAGCCGGTCACCAACGATTGGTTCACACGTCATTTATCCCTTCAGGATAATGGAGCCCATGTGCACCATTGGTTTGGAATCAGGGTTTTCTAACTCCTCTAGGTGGATTCTCCGTGTCTACTAACATGGTTAAAGCTCTGGATATTCGCTTTTCGAGCTCATAATTTCGTAAACAACCCCGCCGCGAGAAGGCCGTGAGTAACACTTCCCTGTTAGTGGTTGTATGCACGTGTCCACGTGAGAGCATTTGGAGAGGGAGAGCTGACTCTCACCCCTCTCAGTCGTACCAGGGCATTTGGGGGCACAGTGAAAATAATTCGATTGGTGTCACCATCTTGAAAAACCGACATCGGTGGCTTGCACATACATTACGAATGGCGTCTATTTGCGCTAACATTTATGTGTTTAAATAAAGAATATATGAATTACTTCACAAAACGTTAAAAATAGTAGTATCTAACAAACTGATGACTAGGATTCTGACTTTTTTTAGAGGGCATAAAACACTTATTCTTGTCTTTCTCCATGTGACATACAACTTTAGTAATGGCATTTTATTAGTATTCGAGACCTAATTAACATGAAATTCACTATTTTCTATTCATAATATCAAGTAATTCCGCTGCAATGCTTACATGGATATCCTAATAAATTGAGTGATGTAACACAATATTGATGGATTTATGGCAAAACGATACTACAACGATGGTCTTTGGCGACTAACCGATGTGCAAATTTAAAACGCTGTTCCGGAAAGCATTTGCCAAAACTTATGACTTTTCATTATATTTTGTTTTTCGAAGAGATTAGATGACGTGTTCCTTGTGAAATGAACCGTTAAGATCAGTATGTCTGGGTTAGGAGTATTCGCGTTAGAAGTTAGGATTTAGGAGTTTTAGAAATAGGACATAAGGTTAAGGAGTTTTGTGATTAGGAACCAAGGTTAAGGTTAAGAGCATCAGTGTTGACAGACAGTTAAAAAGAATTAGGATTAAGTAGTTTTGAGGTTATGGGTTAGGGTCTAGGAGTTTTAGGATTAGGAGCTGGGGTTTAGGAGTTTCTGGGCTAGTAGTTAAGTTCTAAAAGATGTAGAGCTAAGAATTAGGGTCTGTGTTGATTACAAAACTATGACGTCCAGCCTAAATTATCGGTATCTAGTACCAATAAGTTCATTAATGATTATAAAACTCCTAAATTTCTGTATTTCAATCGTTCTTCTACATTTTAAAGCTCTTACACAAAAGTTGCTTTCCTACTGGCTACGACTGATTGGCTAATCTCAAGGCCACCCATGAATTCTAAGAAGGTCGCCGGTACAGTAAGGTCTTGACGAATTTATATCTATAGAGTACGAAGAAAAAGCTATTGAAAACACTTGTTCTCTGACATTTTGTTTTTTAAACATTCCATATGGTTTTTTAAGTTACTAAACTATCTACTAATATTGTACCACAGAACAAATAAAACTCCTTACCTCGATGAACCTCAGAAATATGGCGATTTAATTTATATTTGCGATGAAACTTTTTTTCACATGCAGGACACTGATGCTCTTCTCTGATACCTAATAAGTGAAAGACGGCGATATTAACGAAGAAAAACCAATGTACAGCTAAAGTGAGAAGATAAACTAATATGTTAATAAACAAATAAAGAGATTATCTTTTATCGCACTACGTTCATTTACAAAAGTACATATAAAATGTAGTTGTCTGATACTACAAACAATATTCATATTAGGATGAAATAGAACCACATTTATACAGTTCTACTGAGTATAAAATGTGACGTAAAAATAGTTAGAATTTTTTAAACAAGGGGATTAACTATCCTAAGAAAGGATAAAAACCTAGAAAACTGCATGAATCATACATCACGTCAAAGTAACTTCTAATTCAGCAATCAACAACATGAAATATTGATTTCTAGTTAAATTTATCTCCCATCCCGAATACTATGCCTGTTAGTTAAAACAGGTTCCAAAGCCGTCTATTAATAATACTGGTTGTAGTTTTGGCGGTTCTACAATGTCAGCAAGTCGAGTTAAAATTAACAAGAGGAATAGCAAAATAGTCAAAGTAATAATAGCGCCGATAACAGAAGGAATGCATTATTTGATCTGATTTTATGTACTGGTTTGGTCACGCCTAGTTTTGATTGATTTAAATATCATTTACTGCGTAAACCCATACAAAGATCCAGGATCTTGATACCCAGAATCCTAAATATTTCAAATCACAGCAACTGACATTTAATAAAATTATTAAACAATGTGAAGTTTTAATCGCTGAAAAATTCCCATCATATTAAAACAATTATATGAACGAAGAATATTCTTTTCAATAATTTCTCATCAGGTTCTACAATTATAAATTAATAATCCATAAAAGAAGATTGGCCAAGTTTAAGGCAGAGTACATCAATTTAAGAAACTGTAACATGTGAATCAAGGATTGTTATATAAAATAAGATCGAATCGTTAATGTTTTTGGGATGACTAATATGAAGTGTTAACTTGAATCAGTTTATAGGTGAAATAAAATCGTAAGATAAATGATGATCAGAATATATATATAGTTGACATGGGGGTGAGAGATAGAACAATGGGATTACAAATCGGAAATTACGTAATATGTAGAATTATATAAATTATTTATTTATCATCCACCCCCTATCTACTATATCTGACCTAATTTATATAATTCTACATATTACGTAATTTCCGATTTGCAATCCCATTGTTCTATCTCTCACCCCCATGTCAACTATATATATATTCTGATCATCATTTATCTTACGATTTTATTTCACCTATAAACTGATTCAAGTTAACACTTCATATTAGTCATCCCAAAAACATTAACGATTCGATCTTATTTTATATAACAATCCTTGATTCACATGTTACAGTTTCTTAAATTGATGTACTCTGCCTTAAACTTGGCCAATCTTCTTTTATGGATTATTAATTTATAATTGTAGAACCTGATGAGAAATTATTGAAAAGAATATTCTTCGTTCATATAATTGTTTTAATGTGAAGTTTATTTGCTACTATTAGCGATAATGAGACGATGAGGAGTATGATAAGTAGTTGTAAAGTAATTTTATAAATCCTTGAGAATAAGCCACTAAAAATGAAATCTTAGTTTCAATATATATTTAAAAACTTTAAAGTAGCGGTTTGAAAAGTTACTATTTTTAATAAGATGTGGTTGGTTTTTAAGAAATAAGTATTTTACAACACTTATGTATGTGTACGCCTTGGTTCTATCGAACGCTCTGAAGGGGTAACTAAATTCTTTTCAAAAAAACTACAATTTGACGGTATTCAAACACTTTACGCATATAGAGAATTCGACAGAAAAATTAATACCAGAAAATTATTAGTTGGATAATAAAAATAAAAGCATACCATCATGAACTTCCTGATAATGTCGTCTTAACTTATCCTGTCGCTTAAATGATCTTCCGCACAATGTGCATTCAAAAGGTTTAGGATCTGGTTACCAACAAAATATAAAAGAAATCAAAATTATTTACCATCTTATGTAGATACAAGAGAAAACCAGAAATGAGTGAGTTCTATAACATAACAGCTTACTCATTAAAACGCTCCATACATGAAGCTTTTCTTCCAACGTCACAGCTAATTAGCTATAGAATTCGTTTAAGTTAAAACTCCGATTGTATTTTAAATAACTTAAAATTATGCTTATTTTATTAATATCACGATTAAGATTTTGGTTTGACCATTTCAACGAAATTAAACAAAGAATAGATAAATTATGATAAAAATCATACATTTATGGTATTTTTGAGTTGAAAATTGAAAAGATAACAGATGCCAAAATATGAATGGGTTTGTCCCAGGAAGTCTTTGAAAGTTAATCTGAGCAGTGAATAGAATACCAAGTGTCTTTGGTTCGAGTCTGCGAGCCATATTTAACAATTACTTGCAGATTTTAAATAATTTAGCTCAAAATCGATTGGGGTGGTAAAGCAGCACCTGTTTCTTCGTATTATTGAGCAATAGATTATTCAATTGTTCATTACTTGATTTCGATGGTAACTGTTTCTGTGTTTCTTTTCTTAATTTTCCACTACTACTATAAGTAGCATTAATTCCAATTCCTTGTTATGTTTTCCTGCTGACTTCTTTCAAAACTTCGGATTTTAAACGTGCCAACCTGTTAGATTTTATATTATCAAGATCGATATGTTAAAATCCATCCCACCAACATGAATCCGAGTATCCAATTAGTACATCAAGACCTCAGATACAAGAAGTACAGCTCAATTTCTACTATACAATAATGAACTGAGTCGTATAATACACTTTAGATGTCTTTAGTGACGAGTTTAGGGACTTTCACTAATGGTTTTACATCTATCAATATCTTGGGTAAAAGCAATATATAAGTAGTGGTATGAGTACACGAATATCGTTCGTTGACAGTACTTTACGCGTAACATACAGCTTCTAAAAATACTGGTTCATGGTTTGTTCAGTATTCAGTGGGGATTTAGTATGAAATCAGGAACACAAATTTGATATATGGATGTAACAAATCACTGAATTGCATTTAATTTCATTGCTATGTACATGTTGATATTAAGTTCATAAAAACGATTTCAGGTTACTAATTATCAACTTTGATTCTCACATACATAAATGTCTTAAATAAATTGCCAAAAATGTTGAAAAGTGGCAAAAACATACTTTCCCCATCTTCGTTTTTATTTGCATTAAACTCTACTTCAACATATAAACCTGGTCCAGCCTGAAAAACAATTTAAATAGAAACATAGTTTTCAGAATGAACTGTACTGGAAAACAATAGCAATATCTTATTGTCTACCATATATTAGGGAAAAACTAATTACACTGATACGTTTAGCCTTACTCAATATGCAAACGGTAGGACACGACCATTAAAATATGAATTTTATCCTCACATATATGAAAACTAAAAGTATCAATTAAGGTTTTCCCTATTGATTAGAATTGTGCATTATACAAAATAGTAGATAGACAACGGAAATATGAAATTATGGTTATTAATTAAAAAATTAGTTAAATGCTCGAATGACGAATATAAGGAGTGATAAATTATGTTTCAGACATAAGTAACGCATTTAAACAACCAGGATCCTCCTTAAAAAGACAATATGGCTGATTTGGAAACACCTAGTAATTAAAAACAAATAGTTGAAGAGGCAAAAATAGTTGAGATGATTGCGGTTGAAACCTGTTAATATTTACTAGTCTAAATGATGAATAAAAGTAACGTCAAAATAAGCACCAGTTTTCATCACAGAACGCTGGAGTAATCAATTAGAGAGTGGAAAAATGATTTTTTTTAAAAATACAATTTGATAAACACTCATAGACCACGAACCAATAGTGGGACTTAATGGCTTGAAAAAGGTTAAGAATTGGATAAATAGTATCTACTAGAAAAGAAAAGCCAACAATGTAGTGTATTCCAAGATAATCAGCTTTTTGCCTTTTGACAATTACTACGATAATTGATCTTTATGTTTTACTTATATCTATATACTAACTCCGCCTGTAGCTCCTCTGGGGGTTACTGCCGGTCCCAAGCCCGGGTAAAGGAGGAGGGTTGGGCATAGGGTTAGCGACCCCATCCCGTAGAAAATCAACTCGCTAAAAAAACGCTAACCAGAAAAAATCATTCAAACCATTCAAACTCTGCCCGGGGAGTAGAAGGAATAATTATGACGTCTCATGATGAAAGCCGAGTTCATTCGGAAGTCATGAGGCCGATGCACCTTCTTACAACCAGAGCGACACTCTTTATAGGTACATGGAATATCCGAACAATGTGGGAGACCGGAAGAGTCTTCCAAATTGCTGCAGAAATGAGAAAATACAACCTGGAGGTTCTTGGAATCAGCGAAACACATTGGACGCAGGTTGGACAACAACGACTGTCTTCAGGAGAACTTCTGTTATACTCCGGTCATGAAGAAGAAAATGCCCCACATACACAAGGAGTTGCATTGATGCTGTCCAGAAAAGCACAAAATGCACTTATTGGATGGGAATCTCATGGACCAAGGATCATCAAAGCCTCCTTCAAAACAAAGAACGTCATCCAATGCTATGCGCCGACCAACGACTACGATGAAGACGCTAAAGACCAATTCTACGATAGGCTGCAGTCGATCGTCGAGAAGTGCCCAACCAAGGACCTGATAATTCTGATGGGAGATCTCAATGCTAAGGTTGGAATGGACAACACTGGATACGAAGACGTCATGGGACAACATGGACTGGGAGAAAAGAACGAAAATGGTGAGAGATTTGCAAACCTATGTGCCTTCAATAAAATGGTCATAGGTGGCACCATATTCCCACACAAAAACATACACAAAGCCACTTGGATTTCACCGGATCACATTACACAGAATCAAATCGACCATATCTGCATCAACAAAAAGTTCAGTAGGACGATGGAGGATGTGAGAACCAGAAGAGGAGCTGATATAGCATCCGATCATCATTTGCTGGTCGCCAAGATGAAACTAAAACTCAAGAAGCAGTGGACAACGGCGCGGACAACATCAAAAAAGTTTAATACGGCCTTTCTTCGAGATGCTGACAAACTCAACAAATTCAACATAGCCCTCAGCAACAGGTTCGAGGCCTTTCATGATCTACTCAATGGAGAGGGGACTACCATGGAGAGCAACTGGAAAGGTATCAAGGAGGCAATCGTTTCAACATGTCAAGAGGTTCTGGGCCAAAAGAAGCACCATCACAAGGAATGGATCACTGTTGGTACACTGGATAAAATTGAAGCAAGGAGGAACAAGAAGGCAGCAATCAATATCAGCCGAACAAGAGCGGAAAAAGCCAAATTCGGCACAAGCCGAATACACAGAGGCAAACAAGCAAGTGAAGAGGAGCATCAGGACCGACAAATGCAAATATGTGGAAGATTTAGCAACGACGGCGGAAAAGGCTGCAAGAGAGGCAAACATGAGATAACTGTATGATACAACAAAGAAACTTGCTGGAAATTACCGTAAGCCAGAAAGACCAGTGAAAAGCAAGGAAGGCAAAGTAATCACCGACATTGAAGAACAACAAAACAGGTGGGTAGAACACTTCAAAAAACTCTTGAATCGACCAGCTCCACTGAACCCACCCAACATCGAAGCAGCACCCACAGACATCCCAATCGATATTGGCCCACCAACAATTGAAGAGATCAGCATGGCCATTAGACAAATTAAGAGTGGCAAAGCAGCGGGACCAGACAACATCCCGGCAGAGGCACTGAAAGCAAATGTAGCATCAACTGCCAAGATACTCCACATCCTCTTCAGTAAGATTCGGGAGGAAGAACAAGTACCAACAGACTGGAAAAAAGGACTTCTGATCAAGATACCAAAGAAAGGCGATCTCAGCAATTGCGACAACTACAGGGGCATCACTCTTCTCCCAATACCAGGAAAAGTCTTCAACCGAGTATTGTTAAACAGGATGAAGGATTCCGTGGACGCCCAACTTCGAGATCAACAAGCTGGATTTCGTAAGGATAGATCATGCACAGATTTAATCGCAACTCTACGTATCATTGTGGAACAATCAATCGAATGGAATTCATCACTCTACATCAACTTCATCGACTACGAGAAGGCATTTGATAGTGTGTACAGGACGACACTATGGAAGCTTCTTCGACATTACGGCGTGCCTGAGAAGATAGTAAATATCATACGGAACTCCTATGATGGACTAAACTGCCAAATCGTCCACGGAGGACAACTCACTGACTCGTTTCAAGTAAAGACCGGTGTTAGGCAAGGTTGCTTACACTCACCCTTTCTCTTTCTCCTGGTGATCGACTGGATCATGAAGACGTCAACATCTGGAGGAATGCACGGGATACAGTGGACAGGCAGGATGCAGCTTGACGATTTAGACTTCGCGGATGATCTGGCTCTTCTATCACAAAAAGGAGAAGACGACCAGTGTAGCAGCAGCCTCAGCAACAGTAGGTCTCAATATAAACAAAGAGAAAAGCAAGACTCTCCGACACAATACAATATGCACCAATCAAATTACACTTGACGGAGAAGCTTTGGAGGATGTGGAAACCTTTACATATCTGGGCAGCATCATTGATGAACACGGTGGATCAGATGCAGATATGAGGGCGCGGATCGGCAAAGCAAGAGCAGCATACTTACAACTGAAAAACATCTGGAGCTCAAAACAATTGTCAACCAACACCAAGGTTAGAATTTTCAATACAAATGTCAAGACAGTTCTATTGTATGGGGCGGAGACGTGGAGAACTACGAAAGCCATTATCCAGAAGATACAAGTGTTTATTAACAGCTGTCTACGCAAGATACTTCGGATCCGATGGCCAGACACTATCAGCAACAAGTTACTGTGGGAGACAACAAACCAGATTCCAGCAGAGGAAGAAGCGCTGGAAGTGGATTGGGCACACCTTAAGGAAATCACCTGATTGCGTCACAAGACAAGCCCTCACATGGAATCCTGAAGGTCAAAGGAGAAGAGGAAGACCAAAGAACACATTACGCCGAGAAATGGAGACAGATATGAGAAGAATGAACAACAATGGGATAGAACTAGAAAAGGAAGCCCAGGACAGAGTGGGTTGGAGAAAGCTGGTCGGCGGCCTATGCTCCATTGGGAGTAACAGGCGTAAGTAAGTAAGTATATCTATATACTAACGTATTTCACAGCATATGTACACATCTTGGCCATTAGAACTAGATGTGTTAAAATTCCTGATTGTATTTAAATGGAAAAATTACTTTCTTCATAGAAGAATGTTAAACATTCCAGAGTAGATTATTAGTCTTATTGTATTTTTGGGAATTCATAAAAATCTGTACAATGTTGGTTATTTTAGGCCATTAACTATAAATTATAAAATCATTCGAACTTACAACATTGATTGAGTTCGAATCCACTTGATCAATTTGCAATGGTTGTTTCTGTTCATAATTATTTGACCAAATATCTGAAAGATGATTACTAGTTGAATGATCATTATTATGATTGGTTGTAGCTTTGGATTCATTGAATAATAAAACTGAACCGGATGCAAACAATCCAGATTGTTCTGTGATGTATATTAATTGTTAAAAGATAAAATAAATGAGAAAATTTAGATTAAAGCAAAAAAATTTTTCCACTTTCAAACTAAAAACTATTATTTAGTTATTCCACTTATTTACCAAGTACAGACTCATATACTTGGATTTGAGACACTCTAGGTGGATGGGGCTAATGATACTACTTAATTCTTCAAATCAAAGTACATGAAACACGATTCGAACTTATGGTTTACATGTTGAAATTTGAATAGTTTAACTACTTAGCCGTTACTGGACTATAGACTATGTTAAAAATAAATCTTTGTGCTTTTTGGTGAAGGTTGAAAAATGAGTTGGTTTCTAGGGGAAAAAAAGGACTTGGCATGGAGAAATTAAGAATAATAGGAAGTGAAAATTATTGAATACGGCAAATAAATAGATAGAAAGGTAGTCAGATGTTTTGACTGACTTACAAAACTTAGTAAACTAAATTTTGTATGAACGCTGATGAAACTACTGGGTTATTCAGATAAAATTAACTAGAATGGATTAGAACCCAATAAAAACTAAAGGAAAATCGAATGTATAAACTGAGTCAAAATTTCGAAATAATAGTATAAGTGTACTATATATGATATTGAAATCTCAAAAATACATTTTGTTAGCTAATTGCAGAGAATTTAAGTGTGAAGTACAAATATCATTTTGTAAATATCTTTTATACTTCCACATTACAGTAGAAATTGCTCTAAAAATTCTTTGAACAGATTAATAAACATATATAGAAACAAATGTTTAACGCTAATCAATTATTGAGTAGTGTCCAATGTCATTTTCATCTGGCCCTTTAGTGCTGAAAAAAATCCTGTCGATTGAACTACATTACGGTCACTAGTCTGAGTGACTCAAAAGCGGGTGCATTATACTTCAATGTTAAATGGTTGGAATCAATCACGAAGCATCGATTCCCTCAAGACTGCGATAGAATACATTACGCCGGGAAATAGAGGCAGATATGAAAAGGATGAATAACAACTGGAAAGGATTGCTTAGGACAGGGTTGGATGGAGAATGTTGGTGGGAGGCCTATGCTTCTCAACAAGGGGTAACAGGCATAAGTATGTAAGTAAGTGCACAATGATCAAAGTAGAGAACCTTTTATGTTGAGTCGATACTTTTCTATTCAAACAATATTAAATGTATACTTTTGAATACATAAATAACAGATGTCGATAATTTTAACGATGAGAGTATTAATGATAGTGTTTTTTAAAAAAATAAAGTTGTTTTATGATGAATTTAGAGAGGTTACCATGATGAGCAGTTTTTAAGTGATGACAAAACTCTGAATCTCGTTTAAATCTTCGATTACACAGACGGCAATGATAGCCTTTGGTGACTAAATTATTAAAAAAAAGAGGGAAGAGAAAATAGAAAGTAAAAGTTATATTGTGAAAAAGAAAAATACATCATAAATATACGTAATTATCCCAAGGTATCAAAACAAAACTAATTCACGGAGTTTAGGTCGATAAATATACAATAGATTTAGGTAATACCATTAAAAGCAATTAAATAAATGATGAATAGAATTTAATTACATGGTGTATAAGTATTCAGTTATTAATAACAGTTAACAGTATTAGGGCTAATGCAAACAACATTTCTTCAGTGATAACATAAGAACGACAATGTAGTTCCTGTGAATCTATATCTCATAAAGTGGGCCAATATTAACCGGTCAAAGAGATTAGAAAACCATGATCCGAATCATTATTGTAGTGATCAAGCTTAATTGTACTTCAAAATATTGAGCCTAACACTTTAGATACCATAGAAGAGTGTTGGAAGATATATCAATCCGTTTTTAGTAAAACAAAGCTTATGTTGACTTTGAAGAATTTTCAGCAGCTATAATATTTAGTTGCAGTTTGTACCATATCATACCATACTGTCGATAAAATCTAAGACTATTTTACGATAAGCAAAATTTCAAAATATAAAATCCTGTTAGGGTAACTCATTTAACGCATAATATTTGGCAATCGCTATACCCATCATTCTTTCCAGCCACTGAAACTAGTCGAAAAAAGGCAGCTGGTTCTTTATGTTTATCTGTGGGACAAAAATCTATCGCAATATATTGGAATGTGTAATAACCTATTCATTCCCTAGATGAAGTTCCCCTCTTAAAATTAAAAAAATAATAGAAGCTCCCTGAGGATTTGTCTTTTTTTCTGAGTATTATTAACGGTCATGTACGTTTTTCTGTGTATCTTTACAATGGTGTAGTACTATATTGTGTGTTGTAACTTGTGGTTTTCACATTGTAAAAGCTTGTCAACTAAATAAATCTTAATTATTGCCTGTGATTCCTTTTTTTCGGTCAACATTCTTACAGTGTTATAGTCGCTTTTTAGATAAAACAACCCCACATTTAAACCAGTACCTTATGATCATTATTTGCATCTTTTTCAAGAATACAATTTCTTTACTCAATATATATTTTCTCTCTTTCTCCTTCACCAACATTAATACAGTGAAGTTAAAGGGTTCATTAGACGTTCATTTTGAAGAAAATGGCATTTATATATTCGAGCACGCTTTCAATATTAGAATAGAATACTGATATGTCTTGTGGGTTGAACGCTTATTCCGATCCTAAGCTATACGGATAACCCCAGGCTAGAACTACTCAGCAACTTGAAGTCCAGAGAGAAGACACGAGTAGCAGAGAAAACCTTTACTGCAAGGATCATTTCTGTACAGAAAATCGTAAGTATTTATAGATGTTTGCTTAAGTTAAATCAACATCCTAATTCAGCCAATCCAATAAACGACATATATTGCTACTGACCAATGGTAGCGTGCCACGTTGGAACTCCAGAATGTTCTGTCGTACTCTGATTGGTTGGGACTCTTTTTGAGCCTCTGGGGGCTCTGTTGGAGTTCGCGGGAAGCCGACTTAACACCTCCCCCGAATAAGACTTCTTCCTAGGGTCAACTTGTAGTTTGGTAACTGGGTTGCGACGTCGTCCCATTATTCTCGTCATCTTCCCTGTCCACGGCTTCCTTTCAGTGTTCATTGGCGTTTGTGGCGTTGGTGAGTCTAAGATTAAATCTAACGGAAAATTCGGCGGGTTACTTCGATTCTGCATCATTCTTTTGTCTTTAAGGATTTGATTTGTGTGTCGTATGCACATCCCAAAAGTTCCTCGAACTCTGTACAGAACTCTTCCCAATTTTTGTACGACTTCTCCTGGCTCCCATCGGTTCTTCCCGATGTAGGATTTAATGTAAACTTTGTCGCCGACACTGAAGTTCCGAATACTTGGATTGTGACTGCGCTCATCAACTAATTGGGATGGCAACATGGCATTGAAGACGGTTCGAACACGTCTTCCGAACATGACTTCCGCAGGAGACTTGCCGTCCGGAACATTCGGATTCGGAGTGGATCTGTAGGATGTTAAAAATTTCGTGATCACCTGCCCAGTCGGCCCTTCGCCCCCCCCCTTCAGTAATGCTCGTTTAAAAGTGTCCACGAAGCGTTCTGCTTGTCCGTTAGATTGTGGATGATAGGGTGGAGAACGAAGATGAGTTATTCCGTTTGCTTTACAGAAATGCTTAAACGATTCTGCGGCGAATTGCGAGCCGTTGTCTGTTACTAAGGTCTCTGGTACTCCAAAACAGCTAAACAGGGTAGACAGCTTGTAGATTGTTTCTGAGGTTGTACAATTTGGCATGGTATATACTTCCGGCCATTTAGTAAATGCATCTACGATAATTAGAAACATTTTTCCCTGGATTGGACCAGCAAAATCTGCATGAATTCTTTCCCAGGGTCCCGCTGGCGTAGGCCAATACTGCGGTTCGCATTTCACAGGATTTTTAGCGGCTTGAATGCATGATGGACAGTTACGGCATTTATTCTCGATATCTTTGTCCATTGACGGCCAATAAGCATAACTACGAGCCAACGATTTCATTTTATTTATTCCAGGATGGCCATTGTGAAACTGCTTGAGAACCTTGTGACGTAATAACTTCGGAATAACGATTCGATCACCGAACATAATACACGAGTCAACAACCATTAGTGAGTCCCGTCGACGAAAATATTGCAAAAGTTCTCCGTCAAGGCGATTGTTTGGCCATTTGGACGAGAGATAGCATTTGACTGTGCTCAGTATCTTATCGCATTCAGTGATCTTCTTGATAGTTTCAAAGGTTACTGGGAGTCCATTGATTGCGTCATCCAATACCCGATGAACTTCTTCCTCGGCTTTTATACTTGCTACAAGAGTCTCCTCTGGGGTTTTTGATTTGGAGCCTATTAATCTTGACAATGCGTCAGCTTGTCCGAAGGCAGTAGTAGACTGATACTTTATCTTGAAGTCGTAACCAAGAAGTGTGGTTGCCCATCGTTGGAGTCGGTTAGCTGTATGAACTGGAATACCTTTCTTTGACCCAAAAACTGCAAGTAGTGGTTTATGGTCTGTTATTAGAGTAAAATGTCGGCCATATATCATCTTATGGAACTTCTTCACTGCAAAGATAATTGATAGGGCCTCTTTTTCAATCTGACTATAGTTCCTTTCGGTCGTTGTCAAAGATCTGGCAGCGTGTGAGATAGCTTTTTCAGACCCATCAGGAAAAATGTGAGAGATAACTGCACCCACACCATAGTTCGAAGCATCTGAAGCGACGACTATCGGTAGAGAAGGATCATAGTGTGTCAATAAAAGATTGGAAGTCAGGAGTTGCTTGATTTTCTCGAAAGACGCTTGGCAGTCTGCAGACCAATTCCATCTCGTATTCTTTTGTAATAGGTTGTTTAGTGGAGAACGTAGACGATGGAGATCAGGGAGGAAGGTACCATAATGGCTGACCAACCCCAAGAATGATCGTAGGGTGGTAATGTCCCTGGGTCTAGGCATTGTTTTCACCGCTTCAATGTTCTCTGGATCTGGTCGTCTTCCGTCTTTATCTATTATGAAACCCAGGTACCGTACTTGCTGCATATAGAAGTCACATTTTTCCGCTCGGAGTCGAAAACCATAATCGGCTACGCGTTCTAGTACCTGGTCTAGTTTCTTCTGCAGGTCCATTTTATCTACTGCCATAATTATGATGTCGTCTAAGTAAGCTGCTGCCCCTGGAATACCTTGTAACATGGTATCCATAATTTGCTGAAAAATAGAAGGCGCTGTCTTCACCCCAAAAGGTAGTCGGTTATACCGGAACAGACCTTTGTGTGTGTTGATCGTTAAAAGATCTTTGCTTTCATCAGATACCGGGATTTGAAAATATGCGTCTGATAAGTCCAATTTCGCAAAATATCTGCCACCGTTCAGCTTAGCGAAAAGATCTTCTGGTAAGGGCAACGGATACTGATGTGACTCTAGAGCTTCATTTAATCCTGTGGAGTAGTCTGCACATAGACGGACACTTCCATTCGACTTCTTGACCACCACAATTGGTGCAGCCCAGTTCGAGAAGTTCACAGGCTCGATAACACCCATTTGCTGAAGTCGCTGTAATTCCTGTTCGACTATTGGAAGGGCAGCATAGGGCACAGGTCTTTTAGGTCGAAAAATGGGAGTAGTTGCAGGCTTTAGAGTTAGCACTGCTTTAGCCTTCGTGCACTTGCCTAATCCTTCTTGAAACACGTCTTGGTGTTTTTGTAGCATGGCATTTTTCTGACTCCACTCTGAGGTGTTGTAAGTTGTGATTCGATTACAGATACTGTTAATAGAGTGGTCTGCTAGGTCAAGTGTTTCTATAAGATCCAACCCCATTAAGTCGAGTGCTGGCTTCTTTGTAAGATACACTGTTGCATTTGTTGTTACAGCATTTTTAGACACAATACAAGGTATCTCTCCAACAATGTTTAACTTCCCACCTGATGCACTGTGTGCTATTTGTGTTGTTCGATGCACCGAGGGTCGCCCAATCTTCTTCCAAGTTTCTGGACTTATCAAAGTAATATCAGAAGCAGTATCAAGCTGAAGTCGAATGCGATGTTTATTAATATTCAAGGTTACGTACTTTCTCTGGCGGCACCTTCGAGCTTTGTTATGTGATACCAATATTCTTTTCGTTAATGCCCCAGACCTGTATTTCTTGAAGTAAGATTTTGCAAAATGTCGTTTATAGTTTCTTTTCCTGCAGCTGGTTTCTATATGGCCCTTTCGATGACATTTACTGCAACAATGTTCTTTATACGGGCAAAACCTCTTATAGTGCCAGCCTCCACATGCCCAGCATGGAGATGATGGTTTGTCACCGTTATTACGATAATTAGGTGTGCTGAAACCTTGCAAGGATTTTCTCTTGACTGCGTTGACATTATGGGGACAGTTACCGTTTTCTACCATTGAAGTATCATGCTTCAAGTTCACTAACCTTTGGCACTCGGTAGTTACTTCCTGTAGGGTCATGTTAGGGCAGTGTTCAAGTTTACTTAGGATTCTGGTCCGGATATCAGCATCATCAGGAGAACGCAGGCTGCAGATAAATACTAAACATTTAAACTGGTCCTCAGACATGGACGATAATTTGAACCTCTCGCATTCACGGTTCACAGTTCCTGCATGTTTCACCCAATCATCTCCAGATTCTTTCGTTAACTTTAGACACTGATAACGGATATTAAATAAAGATGATTGCTCTCCGAAAATTTGGGACAGGGTTTTGACTGTTTCATCAAAACTAAAATCTCGTGGGTTCTTCGGGAGAATGAAGTTGCTGTAGCGTTCATGTTCCACAGTCCCCAGTTTTCTGAGAAGTATTCTGACTTTCGAAGCATCATTCAGGTTGCAAAGATCAATATAAAACAAATCTTCATACTTCTTAAACCACGACTCAAAAGTTATACCTGCTACACCATCAAAATTAAATTCATGTATGGCGTTAATGACTGAATCAGTATGTGGTACTTGTGATTGACTGGGAGCAGGGTTTCTCTCGGACAGGAGTAATTTCTGCATCAGGGTTTCCATGATTCTAATTTGGGACTCTTCAAACCTCTTTTCTTGACGCACCATATAGGCTTCTAATTGCTCCAGAGAAATATTCATTGTCATTTTCCCGTCGCCACTGATATGTCTTGTGGGTTGAACGCTTATTCCGATCCTAAGCTATACGGATAACCCCAGGCTAGAACTACTCAGCAACTTGAAGTCCAGAGAGAAGACACGAGTAGCAGAGAAAACCTTTACTGCAAGGATCATTTCTGTACAGAAAATCGTAAGTATTTATAGATGTTTGCTTAAGTTAAATCAACATCCTAATTCAGCCAATCCAATAAACGACATATATTGCTACTGACCAATGGTAGCGTGCCACGTTGGAACTCCAGAATGTTCTGTCGTACTCTGATTGGTTGGGACTCTTTTTGAGCCTCTGGGGGCTCTGTTGGAGTTCGCGGGAAGCCGACTTAACAAATACTTGTAGGAGTTTACCAACCAATCTTCCTAACAACATCATAGAAATAATCTACACTATTTATATGTCTGTTAGCTATTCGGTTCTAAATTATTTATTCTGAGAATAAAGTACTCTTGAGTATAGGTTAATATACGGACAGATTATGAGGAAACATAAAACATTATAAGTCTTCATAGTTATAAACAACTTACGACTATGAACATCATTCATATGTCGGTTGTAATGTTCATTACGAGCAAATTTTTTAAAACACAATGAACACTCATAGTCTTTTATCCCTATAAATAAAAAAACGGTAGAATATACTACACAGTAAACAACATGAGAGAAAAAGAGATTAAATTAATTTAATATATTGTATTTGTATATAATAATAATAATGCTAATAATATAAAATTAAAAACGAATCTTTTCTGTTCTAACCAGTCATCTCAATTTTTACACCAGTATGATAATAAGTGTGAAAGCTAATGAAAAACAATCGAACATTTAATGTTAATCAGTTCAGAATATTAAACTTACGAATTCAAAAACAAAATCATTATCAGCAAAATTAAATACATTAAAATTTAATTATACATAGTGGTCAGTGATGAGAATTTTCTAAATAGAATGTAATCAGAAGGGGTTTTGTGGAGATTTCAGTATTTTTATAGTTGAAATCATGAGGCGGGATCGTGGAAGCGCATTGCTGAGGAGTCCCATAATAGGACGAAACGGCCGTCCAGTGCTTCCAGGTTTTCCGTGATGGTCTAACTTCAATTGACTCATGATTTCAACTATGAAAATAGAATGTAATTATGCATAAAACATACGGCAACTTCTTTCTTATATACTTGAATACTAAGAAAAATATTGCTCATTTATAATTGAAAACTAACTCCAAATAATGATCACAATATAGACTAAATTTTTTTTGTTTGTTTACTAATTGTATTCAACAAGTTGTCCTGATTACTTCAGAAAACGTTGTATACTACAAGAAATTTTGATGACCAGCTTATTCCAACAAAGTTGCATTATGATATGATAATAGTTGATGCGACCCAAAAGCGAATTTGAAAATTGTGAAAACCAGGATTCTTTGACTATATCAAAGCCCTTTTGTTAAAACTGCAAACTGTATGATTACAGAATCAAATTAAACGATCTTTAGCAGTTATATTAAACAATAAAACTCAGGATAAAGAAAATTACTAACACAAAAATAGGGAAATAATGATAATGGTAAACTAACCGTAATGACATTCAATCAAATGTCTTTTGATTTTATCACGACGCCTGAATGTTCGAGTACACAGAGAACACTTGAAAGATTTAGAACCTATGCACAAAGTAAATGATTAAGTTTCTAATGTATTTGTACATAACTGATAAAGTATTGCTTTAAAATAAATAACAGCACGATACCATATAATTGATTATAGGACAGAGTAAATCTATTGTTTACGAAACATGTTTTTAGGTTACAGTAAATCCACACTGCCGATTCCGTAATTTTATCACTCAATATTAATGATATCTACTATAATCATTATTAATATTATGCTCAATTAAATTTTCTCCTTCAGAATACTAATTATCTATACTTTTCATCTTATTAAGGCAATACATTTCTAAGAGAACATCCTTAACGTGAGGGCATATACTTTCTTAAAAAATTGAATCCCTTCGTATGACAAGGATATCATTTACACAGTTGAGACGTTTTATATCGTGGGGAAACATCTATTTCGTTCTTCCTGACCTCTGATGGTTTTCTAGCTGATGTAATGAATGTCTATTTCAAATTATGCGAAATTTCCATAAAAAACCGATACATTTACTGTATGTAGTTAAATGAGGTTTAAAACGCAAAGGAGTAAAATTAAGATAAGAAGATACTATGCAAAACGTTTAAAACAAGTTTATCGACTTATTTATTTAAACACATAAACATTGATACAAAGAGGCACCAAATACATATGCACCACATAAATCATCCGATTTGTGTGAGGGCTGGGATAATGCCCAGGTGCCCAAACAGAAACACGTGGTTTTCTCGGGGAACCACACCCGGAATTTTTAACCTGAAGTCCAATCCACAAGGTAGTGGAGCAACATCAGGAGATGTAGTCCTATGGTAGCCGGTCACCAACGATTGGTTCACACGTCATTTATCCCTTCAGGATAATGGAGCCCATGTGCACCATTGGTTTGGAATCAGGGTTTTCTAACTCCTCTAGGTGGATTCTCCGTGTCTACTAACATGGTTAAAGCTCTGGATATTCGCTTTTCGAGCTCATAATTTCGTAAACAACCCCGCCGCGAGAAGGCCGTGAGTAACACTTCCCTGTTAGTGGTTGTATGCACGTGTCCACGTGAGAGCATTTGGAGAGGGAGAGCTGACTCTCACCCCTCTCAGCCGTACGAGGGCTTTCGAAGGCAGTTCATGGATAATTCGTGAAATATACCTCATTTTTAACTCATGCTATCTTTTAGCAGTAAAAATGGTCAAGGAATAAAATAATTACCAGCCAGATATACATGTATCTACATAAATCCTTGAATACAAAACGAGGGAATAGCTGAAAATGTAATGAGGTTGTAACAAGTAAGAAATTGGGATAAACAAAAGACATGGTAGGTAATTGAAGGCGATATTTTATAACGCACACACAGAAGCATATACCAATCTCTACAACTCAGGTTGACAGTCAGTAACGTTTTAAATTAGTGTTGTATTTAAATCTTTGTAGGAAGGAAGCATCTTCGTAGATGCTGGTTCCTTGATGAAAACACCGTATTTCCATCACAACTGAGTAGTCAGCAGTAATACTTCACCCTCGGACCCCGAGTTTGCTGCTTTCGGTCTTACTGTTCTTCAACCAACCTATTTCGTGTGATAGGACACAAAGTAACAATTATTCCAGCTAATATAGATTGACTGATTCATCACGAGATACAAACCCAACCACCACATAAAGGTAGCAGCCGCACGATCCGGTAAAAGCCTTATATACCATTTAAATACTTTATTAGATGAATCAAACACCAGGTTATAAAACAATATCATTTTTCAAGCCCATTCATTGATTCCTTCGGCTATATTAATAGTCAAATAGGTGCTGTTTGGATGAAGGGTTTTGAAAGAATAAACACGCCATCAAGAAATAAGATTTTTACATCATTTTCGAGAGCGTAAGAAATATTTGTTTATTTACTCAGTAATATACCAAAAAAGTGGAATCCCGAAGTGTTAATATCATAAAGTCAATAACTTTTAAACTACTAGCGTCACCAGAGAACCAATCTAAACCGTTAAAAATACTAAAAAGGGATTTACGTTTGTTAGGTATTGTTGGTATACGCTTACTAAAACGATTTTAAAGCGCAGTGAATAATTAACGGTTATCTACTAAGTCTTATAAGAACTAAAGTACGAGTGTTATTATGGTGATCTTACAGGGTGATATGGTTTGACAACGATGTTGGTTACTCGTTTAAGACACTTACAGATTATACAGCATAAATGGTTTTCTGAATGCTCTCTGGAATATTAAAAAAGACTAATAAATTATATCTAGGTTATCAAATGACTTAATAAGTTAACAAAACGCTACCTTGGCATAGAAACTCCTGTATATCTTGAGCAATCCGAATATTAATAGGGATTGGCTGAAAATTAAAAATAATAGATTAAATCAACTAAGACATTGTATAAAAGATGTATAATTTAAAATCTAGTTTCTAATTACCGTTTCCTTCACCATAGTTTACGGATGAACATAGGTTTATTTGTTTGTCATGCATTTAAGAACATCTGGTATCATATAGTATAATTAAAATGTTTGGAAAACGACGAATTGAACACTGGTCATATTTTGGACCTCATAATGTGTATACATTATTGTTAACTTAGCGTGAATAAGATGTTCAGTTCCTCATCATAACAATATAAGTAAAAGCACCTAATTAAGAATACTTGTTTGGAATTTAAATGAATTGGAAGATTTAGAGTTGGGAGGAAATTATTATCATTGGCATGAACGAATAAAGTTATCGCACACAAAGCACTAGCTCATACAAAATAATCCGACAGACATAATCATATATTAGATAACATGATGGAATTTTGGAATTGGTAGTTTTCTTAGTAAAAAAGGCGTAACAATAAATTCTTATGACGACCAATAAGTTAGCAGACAAAAGTGCACTGAAGTTTTAACTCGTACGGCATAAAAGCAAAGATTTATTTAAAGAAATCCAATGATTTGGATTAACTGATAAATTCTAAAAGAATGAGAATTGTTTGATCAAGGTTATATAATTTTTCAAGGCTTTTCCACTGGTAAGAACTTTACAAAACTGTCTTTATATTCTACCAACGTCACAGAGGATAAACAGAGAACTTTTTTAAATGACTGTTTTACAAAAACTTGTTCGAAGCCCTTATTCATTTCAAGCCAAAATGACAGGAAACCTACTTTAACTACACATTATATATATATATATATTTTTTTTTTTCTACCTCGACTCATCTAAAAATCAGAAGGGGTTTTGTGGAGATTTCAGTATGCTCATAGTTGAAATCATGAGTCAATTGAAGCTAGACGATCATGGAAAAGCTGGAAATACTGGACGGCTGTTTCGTCCTATTATGGGACTCCTCAGCAGTGCGCATCTACGATCCCGCACTCGCGAGATTCGAACCCAGGACCTATCAGTTTCGCACCAAAGCACTTAACCGATAGACCACTCAGTCATCATCCAACGGTGTTATTGTCTAACTTCCACCAATCCACGAAGTTTCAGCAACCATTTACCAATGTCTTCAGTGAGTTGATATCTTCCAACAGATCTGGTTGAAATCCACTGGTTACTACTTCTCACTAGAACTCCAGGAAACAGCTCATGGAGCCAGTCGGTTAAGTGCTCGTGCGCGAGACTGCTAGGTCCTGGGTCCGAATCTCGCAAGGCGGGATCGTGGATGCGCACTGCTGAGGAGTCCCACAATAGGACGAAACGGCCGTCCAGTGCTTCCAGGTTTTCCATGGTGGTCTAGCTTGAATTGACTCATATAAAAATGTTGTTTATGATTCCCAGGACAAACAAAATGGTGTATTTAAAAACAGAGGCCACTAACTACCATACAGAGTAAGTGATAATGTGTATTACTACGTATTTTATTAAAAGAGATAAAAGTCCCAAACCAGATTTTAAGTTGTCTTGCTTCTTCAGTAACAAGGATACTATAACCGTATATCTATCAATATTTCGCGAAATTAACACCGAGGATACGAAAGGTAACTACCTGAGTTATAAGGGATTCCGTAATATCATTTTGACAGAATGAAGCCAGAGAGTTGTCTGATGGTTCCCTGTTTAGTTTTCCTCCTCCCTCCATAGATTAGAATATGGGGATAAACTCAACGTTTCGACCGAATTGAATTTTTAACTATTTTGAACTAAGTGAAGAATTCGACAATTTTCTAGAACACCTAGATAAAAATGGACGAAAAAACATTACTAAACAAATAACACAACTCAGAGAGGCTTATCTTTACATATTTAATCAAGAACATAGGATGTGCGCAAAAACCCGATTTAGTTTGTTTAAAAAAATATAAAAGAACAGGAAAATGGTTTTTCAGCAAAGTGAAGAAACCCGTCGGTCGTAAAGTTTGGTACTTAGTCTTGTAAAGTCCCCATGTGAACAGATTAATAATGACCTGGAATAAATAAGAGTAGGACTAAATAAAATATTTGTGTACAATTGTGGTGTGGTTTACTTATATTCACATAAGTAGTGTATGGTGATGGTTAGACATAGAATGTATTTTGGGAGATCGATAAGGAAAAAACAGGAATGAAGCGCAATCGGTACGAAAATGTATGAACAATGAAATCAAAGAAGACGAACTGATATTTGCAGAAGAAACAGCTAAGATTGAGACAATTAATTGTCATTTTGGCCTCCGCCAGGGAAGTCCTACTCACTGCCTTCTTGTGGCATTACTATTGTTTACAAAATTGAGAGGACGAAAAGCACATGTCCGGCGCTTTGACCGGGTTGGTGGACACGGAAAGTCCACCTAAGGGAGTTGGAAAACCCTGATTCCAAACCAATGGTGCACATGGACTCCAGTAACCTGAAGGAACAAATGGCGTATGAACCAATCGTCGGTCACCGGCTACTATGAGACTGCATCTCCTCACGACGCTCCACTACCTTGTGGATCGGACCTTTAGGTCAAAGGCTTGAGGTGTGGCCCACTAAGAAAAACACCTGCTTCGGTCTGGGCACCTGAGCAGTATCACGGCCCTCACACAAATCAGATGAGCTTTGTGCGGCGCATATGTATATGGTGCTTCCTTGTACCAATATTTGTGTTTAAATAAATAAACAAATATTTCGCAAACTAACTGTTGACTGTGTAGTTATCAGAATTTAGTGAGATAGTCTGTAATTTGTGCCTAAATACATTCGATTGATCCCACCGGTGTTCTCATTCACTACACCATGACTGGATTATAGGCCAAACCAACTGAGACCATTAGGTGCTCATCAAAAGCTAAACTGCTATAAAAATAGGAGGATAAACACAATGGATTCGTTTTGAAGGCAAGACAAAAGGCATTTGTTTGATTGACATATTGAATTAGTGTTGAGTATAAGACAAAAATTTAATGATTAGTCTCACCCTCCTAAACAGAAACTGAATCAATTCATCGGTAAGGAAAGGGATTTTATTGAATGATGCTTTTTTTCTACATTTTGTTCCCATGCCGAACACTTAATTATAAGTGAAAAACAAGTCAGTTTAAAAAGTGGCACTGTATTGTATTTGCTGTTTAATCGAAATAACACAGAAAGAAGCTTTTTCAGTTTCCCAGCAAAACAAGAAATAACATTAATTGCTCAACTAGAACAGGCTCTTGCTACTTTGGATTCGTAGATTACTAGTCATGTATAGAAATACATAGTAGCTTCTGGGAAAGATACGTAGGCAAATATACATTTAATAAGCACAATTCGAAAGGTACTGTCCTCATAGTGCTCTATATCGCATCCTACTTGATATCAGCTACTGTGTTGTTGGTAACTGCTTTTAACATTCGAACATTTTCGCATGACAATTTCTCCAAAAGCGGAGATAAAAATAAACGCTAATTTTTTTTGTTAAACACGTCTCAAAGTGAATTGTTTTGTTCAAAAATTGTGAAAACGCAACTAGTACGGATGAGGTGTTATGAAAACGATGCTACTTTAGATGTTTTGATGAAAAGTAACTCAACTGGAGTGAAAATAGTGGTCTTGATATAGCACAGATCACTGGGATAAAAAAGATATTGAGTATGTACGCAAGTTGGTATTGCAATAAATGCATTTATGGTCGTCTATACTGTCCCTAAAAAAGTGCATTTTGGACACGGTTAGCTTTTAGATGTTCGTCGTAGACTTAATATTGGTTAGGTTGTCGTAAACACATCTACGATAGCAAAAAAATCTGAAGCAGAAGCCGGGTTCACAGAAGTTTTGGTTGAAGAACGTTTTTAAAGGACGAGCAATTAAAATGCAAACCAAACAACTCAACATCACTTGCTAAATAATACTATTGTTAAGAGATCAGTAGCGTATATTTTGAAATAGTACTAAAAACCAGTATCAAATACCCAATATCTTTGAAGCAGGATATTTTAGAGCAGATGATTTTTTTTTCTGTGTTATAGTGAGGATCTAAGTATTTGGTAACGCTCACAGAGTAGGGCAATTGTATATATTCCGAAAGTTCACAGCTAAGGGATCTAGAACCCATCTAGCTTTAATACAGACATTCATTATGTTAGATACTACGGTAGTGAACAGGAAGATGAGTAGGGACAACCGAATGCATTTGAGCACGAAGTTACAGAATATCTCAGTAAAATATGAGAATCATATGGTAAATAGTTAATTTGCAAACTATCAATCAATTTTCTCAATCTTGAACGTTTCTTCTGCAAATATCAGTCCTTTTTCATAGTAGAAAGCATGAGTCAATTGAAGCTAGACCACCAAGTAAAACCTGGAAGCACTGTTTTAAGGCCGTTTCGTCCTATTATGGTACTCCTCAGCAGTGCGCATCCATGAACCCGCTCTCGCGAGATTCGAACCCAGGACCTGCCAGTCTCGAGCCGAAGCCCTTAACCGATAGACCACTGAGCTGGCATCCAACGGTGTTAATGTCTAACTTCAAATGATCCACGAAGTTGAGCAACCATTCACTAATTGTCTTCAGTGAGTTGATATCTCACAACAGACGTGGTTTTGAACTCTACTGGTCACTGCTTCTCACTAGAGCTCCTAGATATACTTCTCGAAGTCACTAGTGAGCATATGATTATATTAATTATCAGAAGGGGTTTTGTGGAGATTTAGTATTTTTCATAGTAGAAAGCATGAGTCAATATCAGTCCATCATCTCCGATTATTATTGTTCATGCATTTTCATACCAATTGCGTTTGGTTCCTGTTCTCTATTTTTCGATCTTCCACTGAAATACATTCAATGCCCGACCACCATTATATACTACTTAAATATATAATACGGACATTCACTATGTTAGATACTACCATGTTCACTACAGTATACACAAACTTAGTACGAACTAAGCTTGAAAACTGCGTTCAGGCTGCAAGCCCTTGTTTAAAACGTGACTCGGATATCCTAGAAAAATTACAGAGGGCATCTATCCGTGCAATTCCAGAACTCCGGCGTTTATAATACAAAGAGCGGCTTGAAAAGTCTGGCCTTTTTACTCTGTCCTATCTCAGTCTCAAGAGATACCTAAGTTTGATGTAAAGAATACTGAAAAATGATTTTAGACCTAACTTATTCTCTCATTTTCTTCCCACCAGAACGGAACATCTCAAAGGACATGGCAGGCGAGTAGAAAAGCTAAGAACGAACTAAATACCCGCAGCATACGAGTTTTCACACCGAGTCATCAATACTTGGAACATGCTGCCCGAGTCAGTGGTGTTCGCACCTTCAAAATGGTTCAAATGGTTGAGAACGGAATAAAAGAAGCATTCGCTTAACGGGCTTCCGGGTCTAGTAGCAGTGGATCATCAATACCTCCAGGCAAAAACCTAGGTATATTAACGATAATAGAGGAAAAAATGAATTTGGTAAATCATAATAAGTTATCCTTAGTCCTTAAGAATAAGTCAAGTTTCTTAAAGGACTCCTGGGAAGTCGCTTGGACTAGCTCAGTTGGCAGCGAGTTCCAGCATTTGACAACTCTTAAGGAGTAGAAGTTGTGTCTGCAGTCTGTTCTGCTATGTTGGGTCTCCAGTTTCTGGGTGTTACCTCTCAGGTTAGTGTTATGACTAAGCTTAAGAAGTTGTTTAAGGGGATGACCAGAAGTATTAAGGATACTATAAGTCATAAGAAGATCACCTCTAAGACGCCTGTACTCTAACGGGTAAAGGTTAAGTGATTGGAGGCGCTCTTCATAAGGTTTGAATTTGAGTCCCCGAACTGATTTCGTGGCTCGACGTTGTATACGTTCCAGAGTGTCCTTATCCTTCTGGAAGGAGGGAGGAAATACCATGCTTCCTTACTGTAAATGGGGACGAATAAAACTGTTGAAGATTATGTGGAAGGTTCTACCGTCAAACTGGCCAAAAATGCGCTTCAATGTTATCAGTGCAAGGTTTGCTTCAATCGATTCATTCAGGAGAAGATTGGACAGTTACAAAAGCCCGTAGGCCTTCTTTCCTTACTACATGAATCTAAATCTGAAACATGGTATTCAATTGTTTGGTTCCTTACTTTGTAGGGCTGTAGGATCATCAAAAAACCTTTGATTACGAATTGTTAGAGACCGCAATTATCTTAGCTTTATTCCAGCATATTAGAGATCACTCGGGATTTGACCTGCACATTTCCTCGTCTCTCTTGGACTTGGTTTCAATAAAAAGGGCATGGACTCATATCAGGCGCTTATACAACTAATTAACTTAACCACTTATTCTTTGGACACTCCTAAAGAAGAAGAAGCCTATTTATCCCTAGATGGGTCGGGCTATCCGAAGTTTACCAAGACAAAATAAGAAATGATGGAACGTTGCCATCAGCCTCGGCACTGCGAAAAATATAGAACGCTACACGTCGTCAAGAAATAAGTTTAGAATTAAAACCTGCTGAGTTCAAAAAAATTTGAAACGCAGTTGGCCCAATCTGCAATCAGGAAGTCGAGGAGACAATTCTAGCACATAAATTACAAAGCAAGGACGCAGCATTGAGTCTCCAACCAGATAACGGGAGGGAGTAGATCTGAAATAATAGAGGATAATGAGCAAAAGTCGGAGGCCACGGCAAACTATTTCGGGATAGTTTCAACTTAGGATCCTCTTCTGGACGAAGAATAAAACACAAACACGAAATCAGCAAACCGTCTGCTCACCATAGTCTTTGATCGAAACAATTTACTTACATTTTTTGTCACTTTAGAAAAATAAACAGAACCGGATGAACTATACCCTCAAATCTTTAGACGAATTTCACAGTATATTGCTGCCATATTGACTACGATATTGAGTAAGTCACTTGACCAAGGTGAGTTGCTTACGGACTGGAAGAATGCAACCGCTTTTTCAATAGATAAAACAAGATCAACTCAACTTCTATCAAACTACAGACCCGTTAGCCTCACAACTGACGTAGTTAAAATACTGGAAAGAATAGTCAAATAGACCTTAATGGCATTCGTGATGACCGACTTGTTAGACATCGAACAACATGGTTTCAGGAAAGAATTATCTTGCACAACAAATCTCCTTATAGCAAGAGAACAATGAAGAGAGGCTCTAGATATTGGAAAGTCGGTGGATGTTGTCTACATAGGCTTAAACAAAGGTGGTGGAGAAGATTTGTAGCTCAGGTGGCTGATTTTGATGTTGGTTTGTTCTCTGAGCTGGATGGTTTGGTCGTGTAAGCCACGACTCGAGCACAACTCACCGCAGCATCTCAATCAAGTCATCTAGGCCAGACTAGGCTGTGGCCTGATCTGGTCTGACCTTGGGATTTCCTGGTAAGTCGTAGACAAAAAGTAATGATAAATTCCAAGAGGTCCATCCAAAGACCAATACTCATTGGAGTACCTCAATATTCCGTCCTAGGTTCTTTGCTCTTTATGCTGTATGTAAATGAACTTGCAAGTATAGTTGAGTCTCCAGTGTTATTATACTCTGGTGATGTAAAAATCTGGTGAGAAATAACGGGAGAGGCGGATGCATGAGCACTTCAGGTAGACTGAAATATTGTGATTAGCTTGTCTAAAGAGTGGCTGATGCCTATCAATGCGGTGAAGTGTGTTCACGCTCACATTGGGTATACAAACGTAAACACTTACAGCATCAGGGAAAAGTTCACATTACGGTCTCACAAGGATCTTGGGCTGACAGTAAGTCATAATCTTGGGGTCGCCGCCCACTGCCTCAACCAAAGGGTTTGGAACCTTATAGACTTTTAGTTGGGCATTCACCAAGTTAACCGCTATTATGTTCATTACTGTATACACTACCTCAGTGAGATCCAAACTTGGGAATTGAGTTCACACTGAAAGCCTCTGTTCGAGAGGTCGCTAGGATATCCTGGAAGAGATACATAATGCGGCCATTTGTACAATTTCATGACTCAGGGGTTTAACATACAAAGGACGTCTTGAGAAGCCAGACCTCTTCACTCTGTCTGATCAAAGATTAAGAGATGATCTGATTTTGACGTTAAGAATATCAAGTGATTTTGAAAATGACCTTCACAGGTCGCAGATCTTCTGTCTTTACTGCACAAATCTGAATCTGTAAACAAACTCCCGAAATGAATGATTTCGTAAGACTTTGAGGTCTTTGTGGACAAATTTAGTTTTAATGGAAACACTCCTGGCTAATAATGCTCAATCAATTATTCACACCAAATCACGTTCGGGTACTGCGTAATGTTAATTTTTTCGACAATTACTTACCTATGGTTCCATACACTTTAACACATCGAGCATTATTAAAACAACTTCCTGGATTTTGGTTTGATTGTCTGAGAGATCGTATTATAAAAATGTTAATATAATTAGTGGTAATAGTTAAGAATAATAGTTGTTACAAGTTATGAGACGTGCATCAGGTCGGACAATCAGTGCAAAATCTTGTTTTCCTGCTACGGGGTATGATTGGCACCTATTTCAGGCGAACTACGATAAACTGTAAGGACGCAGATGATTGTCGAGTAACATTTACAGAATTTCTTCTGAGCGCAATCTGTTCACATCAGTCGGAAGAACGTTCCAGACAGGACAGATATGTGGTTAAGAAGTGTTACCTTCTCGTCTTATAATTCTCTGACACTTTCAAAAATCACATGAATCTGTAGGATTATAATGTACTTTGTTGTTAGTGCTGAACTTGTAGTAGACATAATCCTAAATTTGTAGGTTTGTCCTGACGTATCTGCCCAATCTGTAAGATCTTACGTGAAAGTCACATCATTGTTTATACTGACCCGTCTTATCGTAATTATCACCAATATGTGATGAAGAACACATTTAGGATAAAGTTAGAACCATATATTTTATATGAGTGTAAACAATTCATACGGAATGACGACGCCTG